CAGAACTCTTGACCCTGGGGCCATGAATTTCACAATTTTGGTAGAGTCACCCTTGCTTATCATAACTATGTATTCAATTTGTTTCAATAATACCCAGGAGTAGAGAAGAAGATTTTTCAAAGAAATAATGCACTTTCACTATATGATTTATATAGCCCCGCCCTAACACCAGAACCCCTGCCCCTGGGGCTATGAATTTCACAATTTTGGTAGAGTCACTCTTGCTTATCATAACTATGTATTCAATTTGTTTAAATGATACCCAGGAGTAGAGAAGAAGATTTTCAAAGAAATAATGCACTTTCACTATATGACCTATATAGCCCCGCCCTAGCACCAGAACCCCTGAACCTGGGGCCATGAATTTCACAATTTTGAAAGAGGCATCCTTGATTATCATAACTATGTATTTAATATGTTTCAATAATACCCAGGAGTAGAGAAGAAGATTTTCAAAGGATTAATGCATTTTCACTATATAATCAATAGAGCCCCACCCTAACACCAGAACCCCTGACCCAGGGGCCATAAAATTCACATTTTGAAAGAGGCACTCTTGCTCATCATAACTATGTACTTAGTTACTGAATTTAATACCCAGGAGCAGAGAAGAAGATTTTCAAAGGATTAATGCATTGTCACTATATAATCAATAGAGCCCCGCCCTAACACCAGATCCCCTGACCCTGGGGTCATGAATTTCACAATTTTGAAAGAGGTACTCTTACTCATTATAACTATATACTTAGTTAGTTTATTTAATACCCAGGAGCAGAGAAGAAGATTTTCAATGAATTAATGCATTTTCACTATATGATCAATAGAGCCCCACCCTAACACCAGAACCCCTGCCCCTGGGGCCATGAATTTCACAATTTTGGTAGAGGTACTCTTACTCATCATTACTATATACTTAGTTAGTTTATTTAATACCCAGGAGCAGAGAAGAAGATTTCCAAAGAACTAATGCATTTTCTCTATATAATCAATAGAGCCCCACCCTAACACCAGAACCCCTGCCCCTGGGGCCATGAATTTCACAATTTTGGAAGAGTCACTCTTACTCATCATAACTATATACTTAGTTAGTTTATTTAATACCCAGGAGCAGAGAAGAAGATTTTCAAAGAAATAATGCACTTTCACTATATGATCTATATAGCCCCGCCCTAGCACCAGAACCCCTGACCCTGGGGCCATGAATTTCACAATTTTGGTAGAGGACTCAATGCTTATCACAATGATGCCAACAGTTTGACTGCTTGATGTCCAGGAGTAAAGAAGATTTTTAAAGATTGCATTAATTTTGGTGGTTTTAGCCCCACCCCTCAGGCCCCAGGGGGGCAGGGACCATGAAATTCACAATTTTTGTTCCCCTTCACCCATAGATGCTATATGCCAAATTTAGTTGAAATTGGTTGAGCGGTTTCAGAGAAGAAGCTAAAAATGTTCAAATGTTAACGCACAACGCACGACGCACGCCGACGGACAAAAACGGATAGCAATAGGTCACCTGAGTGACTCAGGTGACCTAAAAAAAAAGGATTATTAAACCAGATCCGATCATCCGGGAAGAACCTGGTGCAAAACACCATAAATCATTTCTAATTTCATAATATGCAAATGTACACTTGTATCTATTTGTTAGTAGATGGAAGGAAACTGGATTACGTTAAATATGTAATTTGTTTAATAATTTTTTCGGGAGGGGGGGGGGGAATGTTAAATTACTAATATCAACTATTTATAAGACTGTTTCTAAGACTTCAGAAAACCTTAAATCACATTGAAATGCTTAAAATAAAAATTGCTGCATGAAAACATTTCATTTTCAAGTTTCATCTTTGCCGTCGCCAACGTGGCACGGTGATTAGAGTGTCTGCTCTAAGAGACGCGGAATAAGGAGTCAATCCTTACGTCAAGGGTTCGAATCCGACAGTGGGACGTTGAGACCGGTCCTTCGTAAGAGACCGCATAAAGCCATAAACCGAGGTCCCGTTCCACAGTAGGTGTTGGCACGAAAAAAATCCCTCACTGCTCAATGGCCGTAAGTGTCGAGTATAGGACAAAATTTGCAGCTCTCCACTGGCAAATTGTGGCGTCTCCATATGAGTGAAAAATTCTCGAGAGGGACGTTAAACAGCAAACAAACAACCAAATTAAAATCATTTTAGCCTTTTTGAATAAAATGATAAAATTAAGAGTTATCCTTCAAGGCTGAGGATCGGACATCCTTAAACCAAGCAACTTACGCGTGATTAAAGTTTGACACAAGGCTTTGCATTAATAGTCCTATAATTACATGTATATGTGGTAATTCTTTAATTAATTTATATTTTATCAAATGGCATGTAGATAATGAATAAGTATTTCGGATTTTTTATGTTTAACTTCCGGGAGATCAAATCCGATTTTAATGAACCATTGGCATCGGAAGGAAATTGATAGTGGGGTGGCTAATTGAAATAGAAAAAAAAATAAAACCTGAAAAAAAACTTGACAAGCAAAAAAAAAAAAAAAAAGGAAAATTGTTCTTTCTCCAAACCCGAAAATCCTATTTCGGGGGTGTGGGTGGGTGGGTGGGGGGGGGGGGGGGGGGGGGGGGGGGTTGGTCGAACATCTCTCAGTACCAAATTCTCTTAAACACTACCAATTACCCTTCTTTCACTACAATGAATCGTGCCTGTAGAAAGTGGGGAGGGGGGGGGGGCTAGACCTACGCCCGAATTTTCAATGCCTATATTACGTCTACCTTTGTAAAAAAAAAAAAGGGGGGGGGAAATAGCCCCCCGGTTCCGACGCCTATGTGAACCAGTTTTTCTTAAACGTGTCATTTCACTCAAAAAATGCCTTTCAAAGAATGAATAATTTTTAACATCAGAATAATTTAAAAGTTTATTAGCTTTCTGTCAAATATGGCAAAAAAAAAAAAAACGAACAAACAAAAAAACAACAAACAAAACACGTAAAATGTCTACTTGATTGCCTAACCGATTTACCAACCTCACGGGCGGATTCAGAAAGGGCCTATGCCCCCCCCCCCCCCCACCCCTTGTGTCCAAAATATACATAAGATTTAATAAATCAATTGTTTTTTGGTTTGGCTGTGGGCTACCTACCCCGACCAAAAACTTGTCGGGCCCCCCTTTTCAAGATTCCTGGATCCACCACTGAACTTGGAAATCAACAATCGCCAAGAAAATCTAAATTACTAAGTATTTTAAAATTAAATGCAATTTTTACAGCGAATACACATTAACCTATAAAAATGAGTCTTAAAATTTCAGCACAGTTGATAAAATCAGGAAGCTGTATAATAGAATCAGAAATTAGAAAAATCTCGAATAGTCCCGGCTTTTAATTTGCCACGGCCCGGGTTTCCTATTTTCAAACACTCTTTAACCTGGAACTCCGCGCATTTTTTTTTAAATAAAAGGACCAGTTTAGATGATGATAAAGAAGTTACCACTGCATAACATGAAACGTCTAATGCATATAAAGATTTGAGCACATCATATAACAAATTAACAACATCATATAATTAATTAACCACCTTATATAAAGATGTTACTACTGCAAAGCATGATTTAAGGAATATATATAATAATTTTACTATATAATATAATGATGTTAGTACTGCACATAATAGATTTTTCACTTCATGTAAAGGTGTCGCACTGAATGAAATTAACTTGGCACTCCACATGCAGCGGGTTTCATACAATGTAATGATTGCTTTATCACACAAATTATGTTCGTACTGTATATATTGAATTCATCACATCACAGAAAGATATCAGTAATGTATAAAATGGAAAAACCACTGCATATAATGATTTTACAACATAATGTATCGATATTATCAATTCATTACATTATTTAACCACTACATATAATGACATTGCCACTGAATATAATGATAAAACCACTGCATACAATAAAGTTATCAATGAAAATAATGATTTTATCACTGTATATAAAGATAAAACCACTGCATATAATAAAGTTTTCAATGAATATAATAATTTTATCACTTTATATAATGATAAAACCACTGCATATAATAAAGTTTTCATTGAATATAATGATTTTACCACTATATATAATGACTTCACCACTTCACATAAAGGTTATTCCACCTCATATAATATGAAAATGACCTTCAGGCAGCTATGGCGTTCCATACTCTGGTAAATTAACAATTCAAAATACAGGACAAAGAACAAGTTTCACTAAGGGCCATTTTTGGCCCTGTGAATTTCTGAAAAAGTTAAAACTGCTCAGTTTTAGTTGAAAATGTGGCAAATTTCACTTGGACTCTTGATGAATGTAAATCTATTAAAAATGACATAATTTTGTCTTTATAGCCCATGTATTATGACGTCATAAATTGTGTCATTTTCCTAAAATCCTGAAAAATTCTTTGAAAATGGTTAAAAATTTAAGCTGTTTTTTGATATTTTGCATAGCCCCAACCTCTGATCTAAAATGTTTAATTATTTAATGAAAGAATTGTTTCATCAGCTTTTAATCCATGATTTTTTTTTTTTTTTTTTTTTTGGAACGCTGGTAGGCTCATATTTTCATTATTAGGTGAAGATGCTCAAATTCACCCATTTTCTTCAAAATTCAAGAACATTGCAATATCACAAAGCCTGTTTTGCAATATTTGAACTCTCAAAGGAAACTTTTTTTTTTTTACAGGAAATGAAAGCACTAAGTCTCTCTTTATATTGATGTTCGAAATGGGAGATTGGGACTTGATCAGTTAATTGTTATATGGACTGGGCCATTTTATGGATAAAGTGAACCTAGCTCTTTTCATTTCCCATGAATTCTTGTGTCCCACCATGATCAAGTGAAAGGTGTTAAAAATATATGACATTTTGTATCAGCAGGTACATATCGCATGTATGCTTATTAAATAAATTCAGAATCAAGACTGGTGTTGTTAATTATAACCTTTTTCGTGAACCAGCAATATAAATGATGAATCTAACCTTCAGTGAAGAACTGTGGCACAGCTGCAAGCAGGAGATGTTTGAGAGTTTGTGGGTGCCCCTCCTCGGTAAACGGGCGAAACAAACTAGTGATGTAATGTCTGTCTACCTGTATTATAGAGACAAATACACCTATTACTCTCATGTACTTTTAAAGCTTTTGAAAGTTGTGTGCCGCTTAAAGTTTATGGGAGTAGGAAGTAAACAGTGAATCCCTACCCAAAATTAAGTTGTTTTTTTTTTGTAGTATTTCAACCTGTATTTTTTTTCTTTTTGTGAATAGTTATATAATAAAGGTTTGTTATTATATCACAGCAATCAATTCTGTATTTGCTGTCACTTTTTTAAAAATTATGATACATCTCAAAAGATACAAATCTTAAAACTAAAAATCGTAACTATTTTTTTTTTTTCTAAATCTGTAATACTGATACATTAGTTTGCAGCAATATATAACACATGAACTGTATTTCTGTGTGTGTGGTTTTTTTTTTTTTTTTTTTTTTTTACCATATATATTCTGTAAGGAATGTATTTAAATGTATCTTCTCCACTTGACTCCATCAGTTTCTTGTTCACAGACCAAAACTGATCAAATTTATCTGAAACATAGCATCAGAATGTTACATAATAATGATAGAACAATTAATTCAACCTTCAATTCCTCTGTATCTAAATGGGGAACAAAGTGAAATCACGACTAAGGAAGGAAGATAAAAATAAATTGCTAAATCTGATTTATTTCCTCCTTCTTTCTACATGATTTAATATAATTTTAACTCTAGGAATTTCCAGATTCTAAAATACAGGGTATATATGAATATACATGTACTGGTAAAAAAAAAACAACTTTTAAACTGGAAAAAAATGTTGCACCAGCTATGAATTATAGGTATACCTAGATAATGTATGCTTAAAAAAACAGAAAAAAATCAAACTTTACAACTTAGTCACAATAAAACTCAGAAAATATACATTCTTCAAAAAAAAAAAGAAAAAAAGAAGAAAATCCAGTCATATTTACCATGCTGCCCACCAGAGTAATTCTATCTTGTTGGTAATAATTGTGATATATAAATTAAAATTAATATTTTCTGTGTTGTTGTGTTTTCTCACATGGATATCTTTTGATAACTTGTGAGCAGACACAAAATTAGTTAATATGGATCCTGTGGGCTGATACGTACCCCGGTATGATGTAGACTTTAATACAGGTAGCACCCTGTTTATCATAAATATGTCAGTTTACATTTTTTAAGGCTCCCAAGATTCAGGGACATTTAGTTTTTGCTCCATCAGTCAGTCTGTCTGTTTGTCAAAAACTATGACCTTAGTGATAAGTTTTGTTTGGTAAGAGCTGGGACCTTCATATTTCACATGTGTATTCCTCATGACAAGACTTTTCTTCGGTCTCAAACACACTTGATCTTAAAACCTTAGAATTTGACCCACTTTCGCAAAATTTTACAAAACTTTAACCTTGGCCAAACCTAGTGCTAGGGCTTTCATACTTCATGTGTATTTCTTGTGACAATTAAGACCTCTCTTTGGGTATGAATATTTTTTACTTTAATTTTGGAGTTAAACAGTTTTGAAAAACATTAACCGTGCTCATAAGTTTTGAATTGTTGGAGCTTGGGCTTTCATATTTCACATGTGTATTTCTTGTGACAAGACCTTTCCTTGGGTACCAACAATTTCGACCTTTTGACCTTAACTTTGGAGTTTGACCTACTTTTGAGAAACTTTAACAGTAGCCATAACTTTTCAAAGGTTGGGGCTATGGCTGTCTTATTTCAAAGATGTATTACTTGTGACAAGGCCTTTTCTTAAGTTTCAATATTTTTTAGCTCATGACATTAACCTTGGAGTTTCACCTACTTTTGAAAAATTTTAACCATTATTTCTGAATGGTTGCTGCAAGGGGTATTCCTTGTGACAAGACCCTTCTTTGGGTACAAGCATTTTAATCTCTTGACCTTAGAGTTTGACTTGCATTTGAGAAACCTTAATCTTTGTCATTAGCTACCATATGGGGGCATCAGTGTTTCATGAACACGTCTTGTTTTTTGGCATTTTAAAATTACTTAAGAATGAAAACTCTGCACATGCCCATTAACTAAATGCAAGTAAATGTTAGTGTGGGATATTGTAAATTTTATAATTTATAATGTTTGCTGACATGGCAGATTAAATCATTGATAGATTCCTATAATATCATCCAGTTTAATACTTTCAAATTCAGTATGACTAAAACGCCTTACTGGAAATCATGATGAACTCTATAACTGGAAAGTGTTTCAATGACTGTAGCATGACAATGTAGTTTTTTGCATTTTTTTTTATGTCTGAGGGAAGCTGTCCTGCTCTTTTCAAATTGAGGAGTACATTAAATCATATGAAAATTGTTCTTAGTCTGACATTTCTTTTTTTCATGAGGTTTTTTTTTTTATTTTATTTTAAATAAGGGATATCTTGGCAGTGGGCTAAAAAGTTAAGATGTGGGCTCCTCAGTTTGAAACTATAGGTGCTCAAATGGCTAATGGAAAGTTAAGTTTAAACCCTGTTGGCAGTGGTGCATGTATATGACCTCTTTCTTGAAAATTAGAGTGATTTTAGATGCACACTTTACATAACATACATATCATGCTGAAGTATTGATATACCACAGAATGGGTGTGTCATGGTACACAAATATAATTTTAAGAAAGTGATAATAACAGAATGGGCAGTTCAGACACACATGGGAACATATACCATGCAATAATCCTGCCCAAAGCTGTTTGTGGTCCCTTTTCTGCATGCTATTTATAACCTGTCCGCGATGTTTTAGTGAATCCGCCTCCTTAATGCTGGACATAAAATGTGACTCTACTGTATCCTTGCTGGTACAATGGAGAAGTTCCTCTTCTGGAAAATCCTGGAAAAAAATAATCAAAGGTTTAAAAAAAAAAAAACAGAAATATAATTTTCATTGCTGAAAAAAGGGAAAATTATGGAATTTCTACTAGTTTTCTGACCTTTGATCTACTTCTTAAATAAAAGATATATTTCAAACGAGTTGTGATTTACCTTAAAATGGATTGTAATATTCCATGGGAGGGTGTTCTCTGAACCATAAAGGTCAAACAACAATCCAACAGGATAGTGCCTAGAAATGAAGGATTACATGCAGGTAATATATTGTGTTTTACACATTTTAAAATATTTCTCCAAGAAAAAAAAGTTGCAGAAGAAGTTACTATTTATATACAATATTAAAAATATTTACCAAGTTTAAATTTTCACAACAATTGTAATGTCTAAAATAACATAATAAAATTGCATACCATTTTAGAGGTTGATTGTCATGCTCTAACCACATTTCTTCTGCCTGTTCCTCATTGACAAACTTTAAGAAATGTTTGTTTATCTTCTCTGTGTGCAAAGGGAAATAACTTATCCTAGGTACCATCAGCTGTTACAGAAGAATTGAACATGTGTAACTAAAAGAACTTGATTAGGATTTCAGCACTGGGCCCTATTCACCATGCAGACACTACAGTTTGCTACATTACAAACTCCCATGTTGATTGACCTGAACAGAATTTCTCCCTCCCTAATTTTTTTTTCTGAAAACACGTTCCCAGACTCTCCACTGCAAAGTTTTCAGCCCTGTCAATTTCAGGGGTAATTAAAATGGCAGGGAGACAAGGAGACAATTACTCCAGCATGCTAAAAGTTCATGGCAAGATACTTTGACTTGTCACTGTGTACTGCATGTACATGGTTATTTTTGCCCAGAGTTATTTTCACCCTTTCACATTTGCAAACTTTTTTGCATCGATCATTTTAAATTCACCTGTAGAACTTGATTAAGCCAAGTCCTGGGACCTGTGAATTAACTTTGCTATATATATAGTTGAACTTCGGTATCTCAAACACTGATATCTCAAATACCATGGATATGTCAAAGGGATTTGGAAGTCCCAACTACTTATTCTTTAAGTATTTTACCCTCGATATCTCGAATCCTTGGAAATCTCAATGTTTTTTCTCAGTCCCAAAGATAATGAGGTTTGACTGTATATGTATTATAATGAATTCATTAAAGTATATATAGCCAATTTACAACACACATGTATACATGATTTCCTTCAAGTATAACTACTGAATATACTCAAAAAAATTAAAAATGATGTATGTCTATTCAATATTTTAAGTTTTGAGATCTTAGAGAAAGTTTGTAAAAGATGTAGATTTTGGGGGTTTTTTTTAACCTCTGCAGGATACAAAATCAATTCCCTATATCCATAAATCTTTTATATTGTGGTTTGTTATCACTACAAAATTTTCTGGGGATCCAAAACAACATTGCTAAATCCATAAATTTGCTAATATATCCATATTCATACTAATCAAGTTTTACTGTAAATAAATTTAAAGAATTAAGCCTTGTACATGTATAAAATTTCAGTAACATCAACTACATTGCTAAGTTTTGTAACTTACATAAACAGGATCTGGGTGTTCACTCTCTGTGTCATCCTCTGAGAGATTGAAGACAACGGGGATACGCCCCTCCCATACTCCCTTCTGTATCTCACGATTCTCTCCCATTGTGATTCAATCTAAATATGATGAACTAAATTTATATATTTGCTGGTAAACTGCAAAAAATATACATGAATGGACAATTGTTAAAAATATAATCTAATCATTTCATGTATTGTCACAATTCTTGAAAACGGTGTTCTTTTTAAGTAAGGGTTAATTAATGGAAATGTCCTCTACCTTTTTTTAAACTGTAGAACATTATGAGATTTCATCTTCTCATAATATACATAGCATTAACCATTCAATATTTGTACATGATTGCATCCAACTGTAGCTGACAGTATTCATATAGATGATTTATACAGTCTCACTACAGCTACAAATTTAACTTTCCTAGTGAAGAAGTGAACCCGAAGAGTCTTCCTCAATATCAGGCAAGCTGCAGGGAGCCTGTAGCCCTTGGATGGGTGACCACTTTACTTAAAAAATTAGAGACTCTGGGGCTTAGTGACCTGCTTCAGGAAGTTCCAAGGTAGGGACTTTGTGTCCATTTTGTACTGATAAGCATATGTTGATGTTCTGAAGAGGTCCCCAACACTCAGAGAGGACCCATGCTAAGCTTCGGAACAAAGCTTCCCTGAGCCAGCAAGTAGAACTTAGAGGTGTAGCAGACAGTATATAAAGTAGCTTTATATACTACCTCGATAGTGAGCTAGCTTTTCTAGTGATGTGGTAGAGTCTTCCTCAATACCAGGCAAATTTAGCTGTGGTGAGCTTGTATAGTCCTTGGATGGGTGTCTGCTTCATATCATATACCGTACACTGTATACCATAAATAAATAATATTTTTCCCTGATATGTTGCACTTTCATTGGTTTTGGCAGGTGATAATTCTGGCAGTATGGCAAATGTGTTGTGTTTAATTTCAATATTAGAAATCATTTATTACGGAAACTAAATTCCATAATGTTTTCTTTATTTGAGTAGCGGCTCTTAGTCTTTCAAGAAATGATGTCAGATTTGTTACGTCTGCATCAAAAGTGATGGTAGCTAGCTTTAAGATTTGCTCAAATGAGAGAGAAAAAAAATGTTTTAAATCAAATAGAAACAAATTACATGTGTTAAAGTAGAAAAAAGGGTGATTCGGAGATTTTTCAAGATTACTTGATCATGTTGAAGGTAAAAGGTGAGCTCATCCTTGATAATTATTTCTGAAGTGTTCTACTTTCTGAAACTGGCTGAGAGCTAGTGGATAGTCAAGATGTTTGGATACTTAGGCTTCACAGAATTAAAACAATTATGTTTTATTCAATCATCTTTATCATCACTTTTTGCAGGGCTGTGGTACTAGGGGGGTCAGTAGGTGGCTCCCACTGATTTGCTGTAAACTCTTGATCATTCAAATGCCCTGTTCTCTCCCTCCCCCACCCACTTTTTGTTACAGTAGGGTAGAAAGTTTGCAATGTTACTACAATAAAAAATTTCCTAAAATTTAGTGGAAGACTTTACCCCCTCCCGAATTCTGGCAATTATTTTTTTGCCACCCCCCCTTTCCCTGATAAACGTCGCACCAGGCCCTCACACTATGATCCTCTAATAAGTAATAATGTCTCTGTTACTATATATATAAAATTAGTGTCAGCTTATCGTCATAAATAAAGCATGATGACATTGACAGTCTTATGATAGATGTCAAGACAATTAATGGAGGAGAAATGCACTACATTCTGTTTAACTAATGAGTCGATCTTTTTACAATTAAATAGTTAAAAAATAAAATTAAACAGACGAATGTCACTTAACCATAAAATTCACATCTGAATGGAAAATAAGAAACATCCAAATCCAATCCTGTTACATTTTCCTTGCAGAATATGCCATTCCTTCCGTTTACCTGACGTACTAAACCTACCTCCAGTTCAAAAGATTTCGCTTAGTACAGTGAAGATCAAAAGTTGTACCCGAATAATGCGTAAAGTTGAAATATATCTGAAATAGGTCTTGAATATTTCATGTTAAACTATGCTCCGAATGGAGCCATGTACATATGTGTGTGTGTGTGTGTGTGTAAGGGGGGAGGGGGGTTGTAAAGAGGGGTCCACTTTTGTAATTTTCAGGGATATAAAAGGGATATATATTATGGATATATACTTTATAGCAGACATAATGTATTTATCGTCAATGATTCTAAAATCTGCAAAATTTAAAACACCAGATCGCATGGAGAAAAGAGAAGAAAAGTAATCGTTTAGTTTTATCATACTATTTTTCCATTGTTTTCACTGAATACATTTTTGTAAGTCGTTGAAACGAAAGTTGTTGGGGGGGGGGGGGGGCTCTATTTAAAGTACATGTAAATCAATTTATATAATAATAATAATAATAATAATAATAATACTTTATTTATAGAAGGTAACCTGATTAGTGCAAGCACTAGTCTTCCTCAGGGCCTTCTTTATAACACATATACAATGTATATATACAATAAACACAAATCACAATTATGAGATAATAAAATATAAACACTATGTTACAACAGAATAAATAAAATCATCAAAGCTTAGTTCAAAATGTGAAAAGGAGGGGGGGGGGGAATCACATATTTTCACGTAGAACTAGTACGTTTCGTAAGTAAAAAATTTTCAACACTACTTTTAAATATTGCAAGGGATTGGGATTTCCTGATACTTATAGGTAACTCATTCCAGATAATAACCCCTGAATATTGTAAAGAATTTTTAAATAAATTTGTTTTGTATTTTGGTAAACGAAGTTCGGAATTTGTTTCTGAGCGCAACGTATATGATCCAGAACTTTGAAATTCAAAAAAGTTATGCATATAATCGGGAGACATACCATGAAATGTTTTGAACATTAGAATGCTTTTCTGTAAATAAAGAAGTTCATGAACCGTTAACCAGCCTAAAGTGTTAAATAAAGGCATTGAAGGTGCATCATATTTTTCATTTAAGATAATCCTTGCTGCACGTTTTTGAAGTCTGTAGATTCTGTCGATGTGGGTTTGAGGAGAGTTACCCCAAATAGATAAACAATATAAAATTAATGGTAAAATAAAAGCGTTATAAAATAGTTTTCTAGTATGCAGTGGAAGAAACTTTTTAATTTTTCGTAAAGTAAATAATTTATATGTAAGAGTTTTGCAAACTGCATCTACATAACAAGTATATTGAAGAGTATGATCAATGTGAACACCTAATAATTTCTGCATTTCCACATTTTCAAGGGGATGACCGGAAAGTTGTAAATGAAGACTAGTGTTTTCTAATTTTGATTTCTTTTGTTGTGTGCCCATTAACATACACTTTGTTTTATCGGTATTCAAAAGCATCTGATTTTGTTGACACCAGTTTTGTATTTGATAGAGGTCATGATTAAGAGTTGTTTCAATACGTGAAATATTGTTACCATGAAAATGCATTGTAGTGTCATCAGCAAACATATCAATATTACAATGTTCAACAGACAATGGTAAATCATTAATGTACAATAGAAATAATAAAGGGCCTAATATAGAGGGCCTAATATATCACTCGTATGACTTCCCAAGAAAAAAACTTATTGTTGTTGCAGGGCCGTAGTACGGAGAGAGGAGGAGAAGGGGGAGGCCTGCCCCTCTCTCACTTTATCTGAGAAGAGTCTTTCGCTTTTAATTTAACTTGCATATTCCTATGAAGTATCCATATGTTATTTGAGTTGAATGTGTGCAACTGTTGCCGAGATAATGAACGGAAAGTCAATGATGACGGAATGACAAAATGACGAAACAGGGTAACACTTTTGAAAGTGGGTCACACTCCAAGGTCAAGGTCAAAAATATTTATATTCATGGAAAGGTCTTATCACAATGAATACACATGTGAAGTATGGGAATCCTAGCCGCAACTATGGCCAAGGTTAAGGTTGAGTAAATTCTTGTAAAATTGGGTCAAACTCCAAGGTCAAGAGGTCACATATGTTGGTACCCAAAGAAAGGTGTTGTCACAAGAAATACTCTGCCATGGATATGTCGAAGTCAGTTTGAAGTCCCAACTGCTTATTCCTTAAGTATTTTACCCTGGATATCTCGAATCCTCTAATATTTCGAAGTATTTTCTTTGTCCCTTCGAGTTCGAGATAACGAGGGAGTCGGAGGTTTTGACTTTAATTATATATATATATATATATATATATATATATATATATATATATATATATATATATATATATATATATATATATATATATATATATATATATATATATAATAGAGAGAGAGAGAGAGAAGAATAGAATTTATTACCAAATCAGGGCCAAATGGGTATAAACATATAACATATGTATATATAATATAGAATTACAGATAAAGTAACAGACAGAATACAGCATTTAATGAAGAGCAGTTCTTCCATTTAGTACATTGGTGGTATTTTTAAAGTTTCATATGTAGAAATTGGTGTTTTTAACTAAAAGATTTATCTGCATTTTAATTGATACAACTTAATTTGAAACATGTGCATTATTATTATTATTAATGCTATACATATATCTGAACACATAAAATATGTTTGATACATCAACAAGAGGCAGCAAGAGTCGGTGCTAAAGGATATACAGAAATCCACTTCTGCCTCATGTAGAATAAACAGAGACATAATCTATGGAGAAGGGTATGAAAAAATTGTATATTGAATCGCATGTGTAAATTACATTAAACTGCAGATGGACAGGAAGAGTCAGTGCTGATGGATAGTATATTACATGTATTGTAATTAATATCCACTTCTGCTAAATGCAGAGTATATAACAACACACGCATATCAACTATATATATAAAGATCAGTTAAAAAAAACCAAAAGAATGGAAACAACTTTTGCGACGTTCGGTACCTATTGTTGTTTAAAATTTGCGCGGTATTTACATGTATGTTTTGACTCTTCTTTCAAGAAGGTAAGAAATGTATTACAGTCAAAACATGCAACAGGTGTAGCTTGGAGGTAAAGCAAGTCGTGGAGAGTCTCATCATTTACTGACTGTTTATAATTAATTTGAGAATAGAGGAATTATGACAGAATATTATGCAATGATCAGAGTATTTTAGATTGTCTGAAAATGGATTTAGGTCATGTGAATGTTCGAGGACAGAATGTTGATCTCCTTCATCAAGGTAGGGATGTTACACTAGATATTGTACTGGTAAAGTCATAGTGTTGTGGTAGAGTGTCATCTGGTCATTGTGTATTTATTGTTTACATTGATTTTCGCTGTTTTTCTCTCACGTGGTAACACTACAGTTTGATGTAATACACCGTTAGCTTATCAATGGTTTTACTTTTTAGTTTGTTTATTTCATTGATTTCTGAATTAATATACTGCAAAGAGCGAAAAAGATGAATTGCACACTCAAATTATATTTAAAAAGTTTTTACAATATATTTGTATATGGAGCATTATTTTTATTACAAGTGCACTCCTCAGTGCATTAGGCATGTACAGAGACAGTAGAGAATATACAGGCCCAGAGGAGCAGGGAGGCATGGGGGACATGCCCCCTCCTAATAATTTTGCCAATAAATTGTATACTTTAGAAAACAACTCTACTTTATGGATGTGCCCCCTCAATAATTACATCTGATGACCTTTTTCTCAAGGAATTTTTGTTTGGCAGTGCTCCCCAAACTAAAAATGCCCCCCCCCCCCCCAAATGAATTGTTTCCTACATGCCTGATATGTGTAGAAAATATCCCATCCTATCAATTATTTTTAAACACAAGCGCCTGATTGACTACATAGTTGCTTATGGAAATTACTGAGGAACTAAATCTGTCAACATCTGACTCTGCTACTGTGGAATCTCAGGCATGCCAATTAAGTGAGCTTAGGGCTAGAACCTAGTAGTCAGATAATAATCGGTCACTTCCCAAGTCTCTCTGATCCCTTCTATTCAGTCTTGACCATTTTTTTTTTATCTGTGTGTGACAGGGTTTGTTACTAAGAGAGAAGTTTGAAAGTAAAAACAAAAGTTTCCCAATCTTACAATTTCTTTTTTAATGTTCCAGGTTCTATTTAATTAGTATCTTTTATGTGTATTTGATACACATGACTTAAGTCCAAGGAGTTATAATTAGCATTGATACTGTAACTCAATAGACATAAATTGTACAAGCAATGAATATTTATAAATCATTACATTTTATCAAAGGAATCATGTAAATATACATAGATAAAGCTAAAGTATCAGCAAGATATGAGAAGGTGATTAATTGTATGATTAGCATAAATTCCGCTTTATTTCCACACTATGATTCAAAAAGAAGTATTTTGTCTTTGTTCATACCTCAGAATCATTTTGATGTAGTATAAGAAATGAAATTATAAAATAACATTTTTGAGAAATATATAGTCATATAGCAGAAAACTTTTTTGTGAATGTTTTTTAGCAATTCATCCTGAGTATGGAGTTGTGTGGACTGATGGTAAAACCATCTACCTGGCTCCCGTTCAGCTCTCCCACGGTCAAGTGGTCAATCAAAGAGCTATAAAGCTGGGCAAGTTTGAGTAAGTAAAACAAAACAAAGGTAATACATAATGTATGATATACAGAGATTTAGGATAATGACCGGTTCTAAATTTATACCAGCGCAATCTCAATGATCAACAAGGGTAACAGTACTCAACAAAGTATTTTAATCTAGAATTGATTGGGTTTTTTTTTTTTTTTAATTTTTCTGTGAGTTTTATGGCAGAAATTAAACTGTATTGACACTTAACAATTTAAAAATAGCAACATGAACAACTTTATTTGTACAACAGAACATGTTATTCCAGAGAACCCATTATCTTGTTACTGAAAACAAATGACACAATGAATATGATAAACAAATGATAAAAGGTAGATTTGAACCCACATGCAACAGATGCATTACCTCAGACAAAACCAACCTATAAAACTGATATTGAACTGTGGACATGTAGCTCTAAACTGTAACTTTAAATGAATTAACAGGAAACTTGACATTGTTTGAATAGTGCTCTGACACAGTAGATGTTGCTAAAGAAAAATCAATGTTAAAGCAGGATTTATAACAGGGTAGGATGGAGTCAGCAATTAACATCGATCAAGTGATTTATTGTGGACTTAAAAGTCTTTAAGTATTTAAAATGATATTGTATGCATGGGTACAATAGAAAGAGCCTTGTGTCTTATAAAGAGATCAATGAGAAAATGAGAAGTTTATGACAAAACTGTTTTTTGAAGAAAAAAAATTCACAAAAGATATATACATATTCAAAAATGATTTAATCATCCAGGCCACTGTGTTGTTGATAATGCACAATCTGTTTTTTTCTTCTTTTTTCTCTGTTGCAGCCATGAGGTTCCTAGTTATTTCTCCTTCAGACAACCCTATATACATGTAGAGTAAGGCATCTTCTCCTAGCACTATGGGGTAGACAGGGCTTCTTGTAGATACACATAAGCACATTTTATTTTTGTAATGGTATATTTTTTAAAGTTTAATTCTTTTCCCTGTCATTAGGTACATGGATATACAGATTTAGTTGGAGGTTTCTAGTAGCTCCTTATTTCAAGTTTGTCTCTTTTTGTGTTTATACTGGTACTATGTAATTTTGAGAAATGTTCTCTGTCATATATTAAAATTCTTCAATTGATTTGGAATTTGGTATCAAGCAATTATTTAAATACATAATTGTATTAAAATTTAAATTTAAAAAAAAGAGAGAGAGAGAAACAGAAATAAATAAAAAAAGGTTCAATTTAATACATGTAATTTATTTCTTGCATTGAAAGTACTGTACCTTACATACAATAATTTCAAATTTGTTCTTGTGTGCATAAAAATTTCTGATGGAATTTGGCGTCAGACAAGAAGATTGCTCAGTTATGAAGAATTGCAAAAAAATTAAAAATGGAAAAAATTATGTTCGAAAAATTTTATTTTCTTGTTTACATGGTTTTCCCTGAGAATAATTTTGTATGCAATTTTCAGGAAAAGTGTGTTGAAATATACATGTATTGACCTCATTTCAAGGTCTGATACTCTGATTGATTAGTTTTGAACCTTAAAATATAGAAATTTGTAACATCCAAGGTATCGCACATCCTTTTAATTTGCAAGGGTACAGTCAAGTAAGTTGGAAAATTTAGTTTTCACTCTTAGGAGAACAAATGTTATTGTAGGAAGGGAGAGCTGTTATATCACAATTAATCTCCTGTTTTTCAAACTGGAATGGTCCCGGGAAGATTAATTTACAAGTCAGATTAAGGTAGTTAATCATCGACTGGACAAAGATCTTCTCTAATCACTCCTCTACAGGGCCACCAAGAGTTAAAATCTCTCTGTTGTCAATATTTTGTCTCCATCCAAAGGTTTAACAAGAGAGTCTGTGCAATCCTTCTTAATTCTATTTTTATCTTGATTTTTACCTGTTGGCCAGGTGTGACAAATATTTTAGGTATTTCATAAATACCTGTACAGTGTAATGTTCAGAATAGATTAGCATCTTTCATTTTACTCTGAGTGTTCAGGTATGTTAATGACATTTAGAGTTGGTTGTCCTACAGCCCTGTATGATTGTCATGTAACCTTGTGTCACTCTTACACCTGAAGTCAGAACTTCCGTGTGAATTTAATTTCCCTGTGTTATAATTATATCTGCCACTTTACACAATGAAGTGTTAGATTCAAGCTAAAGTACATTTTATATTAAGAATTTTACATTGAAGAAAGTTTGATAGATTTCATAGCCTTGCTTTTGCATGCCATTGGCTAGATGCAGAACTGTAGCTCTCTGGGAAATGAAATTTGGATAGACGTACCAGAGAGCTACATATTCATATAACGAAAAAAATCTTTAATCGATTTACGGCAACACTTTTATGTTGCAAGCTTCAATATTATTTCTTTCATTATATTATGCATTCCCCCACCTAAAGCATGGTATCCATTAATTTAGACATATATTTTATGTCCACTTTTTTTTACTTCATTTACCTTTCATAACCTTCTATGGGCTTGGAATGTCACAGTTTCTACAACTGGGTTACTGAATACAGGGTTATTTTCGCCCTTTCACACTTGCAAACAATTTTGCCCCATTTTACAGTCTTCGCTAAATCTTTTTTTCAGTACATGCCCTTCAGGCAGGTTTAACCACTTATTACGCTAGCCCGAACAAATATTTACATGCCCAGAATTTTATCAAGTAATTTTATTCTTATTTGCCTTTTCATGCCAAGGAAATGATCCGAAATCCATTTCTATCGATCTATTGTCTCGCCATTAATATTGTTTTCAACCTGTACACTTTTTGTGTCTCCTTTGCAAAAGAATTCCTTGGAAATCGTGGTAGAATAAATTATCGTTAAAATTTTATTTGGTGCTCCACTTTAGATGAAAAATCAGACTTTTAAGTACATTTAATGTTATTGGTATTATTTAATTTGATAATAGTGAAGCTTAAGCCTCAGAGTTTACATGCCCTTCGGGCTTGTAAGTATGCAATTTCCACATGCCCGCTTCCAAATTTACCAGGTCCCGGGCATCGGACTCCCGGGATTTGTCGAAGACTGGTTTTAATTTCGCCCAGTCTCAGTTTTGCTTAAGAAATTATACTGTTTTCTTTGAATTTGTCCTGTCTTAAATTCGCTCACTTGCGTCTAGGGGGAAAGGGGCGAAAATAAAACGGGGGCAAAAATTTCCCTGTATACAATATGATAAAAGGGGCATTTATAAGTCTAATGGTTATCATCCTGCATATTTATGTTCACAACAATCACCGTTTTATTATAAGATAAAAATGTTGCTAAAATATCCCCAGTACAACATAAATTTTTGTTTTGATCAAATGATCAGTTGTTTTCCTCTAATTGCAGGCAGTCTGTGAAGAGTGTACACTGGAGCTGTAACATAGGACCACATTCCTGTTACATGTGTGTCGTCCATACACAGCACTTATCTCTCTGGACAGTTGATGGAGTTGTCCCTAAACTTAGCTTCAAGCAAGTCCGAAAACTAAATGTCCAACCCATCTCAAAAGGTAAAAAATATCCACCAAGTGTATTTAACCAATATCTAAAGCCACATGTAGTCTGTTATTTGTCTATTTTGTATGTTGCCTATGAAATCAAAGTAGAGACATTATCTGTATTCATTGACTTTCCTATGTTTTTTCCCCATAGGTTGCCTTTGGAATCCTTGTAGAGACATTCTGTGTATCCTTAGTAAACAGCAGTGTAGTTTTTTCTTCAGCCATGCCAAGAACCGAGGGAGTTATGCCTTCCCTCCTCTGGAAAGGTAGGTATAGAGGGGATAATCCAGATTGAAATATGTCCTCCCCCACTGGAAAGGTAGGTATGGAGGAGATAATCCAAATTGAATTAATGCCCTCCCTCCACTGGAAAGGTAGGTATGGAGGTGATAATCCAGATGGAAATACTATTTAAAAATTTGAAAATAATTACGTGTATATATAGCAGTTTAGGAACTTGAGTATTATACAAAGTAGCAGTGTAAAAAATTAAACAACTCTTTTTGTTGTAGCGGAAAAATCAGTTGTGGAAGCTGGTCACAGGATGGAACCAGGCTGATTTTATGTGTAGGAGCTGTTATACTGGTAATTAACTTCATTAGTGAGATATATAAGCAACTTCAACTAGGCCAGTATTTACTGTAGAATCATTTTAATTCTTGAGGGGTCAATTTCATAGACAAGCCAAATTTTACCGGTTCATGGGAACAAAATTTTGCAGGAAACTGGTATAAACATTAGGGCTGTGTATTGAACAAAATATTTTGATACGATACAATACAATATTTTATAATGCCATATATTTGATTCTTTAACAAGTCTATCAAAAAAATCTTATAAACTATTTAATGCCAGAATTTTATAAAAACAATTGTTTTTCAACTCATTTTAAAGTTCTTGTCTCTCTGTCATTACAATTTTCACTTCAAATTCAAAGTTTTAATGATTGTAAAATGAACATGTTAAATAAAGTTGTCCATGTATTTTGTAATAATTATCTAAGATATGCTACCTTCTTAATAATTATACCATTATTGATCAATTTTAATTCAAAACAGTCAAATATAATCTTTGGTGATTGAAATTCCCAACTTTTTCACAGAATTATATGAACAACTGCCTGCCCGATGAGTATTGAAAGTTATTTTTTTGATACGGTACAATCAATATCAATATGTATTGATTAGGGATGGCAATTTGTAACCGGTTAACCGATTACTCGGTCGGAACGATGGCAATCGATTAGAAAATCTGTAATCGGTTAATCGGAAAAAATAAAATATTTGTTAAATTGAACACATTTTTCAAATTAAAAAAAAAAGAAGAAGAAATCTCTGCACAAAGGATGATCATTTAGGATTTAAGGGATCTAATTTGGACGCATATGTAATTATGAATCTCCAGATTGAGACCGTTGCGTAATTGGTCAGTTTATGAAGTTTTAATTACTGTGAAAACACCATGTCGTTAAACCCCCCTACTGCCCTGTAATTCTTTAATGATAATAATTGAATCATTGAGCACTGTGAATTGGTGTGTTTGTCTTTTTCAGTTTTAATCCAATTTACATGTTATTATTAAACAAACATTGTGAATTAAGGGCTATAGAGTTGACATGTAGTTTTGATTATCATAGTGAAAATGCAGAAAGAACCTTTGTGACATCCGCTCTGGAAAATTATCAAAGATTTCCTAGGCTTTTTTCATGGTTTTCTTAATTTTTTCTTGTCTACTGGAATTTAAATAAAAAATATGTACCCGTATTTTTCTGATCCAGAAGCAAGACTAATGGAATTATTTAATTTCTATCGTCTTATTTGGGTGTATTTGTGTACTTGAAAAACAATTGTCAAGAAAACGTGCATTAATTTTGATACGATTAACCGGTTAATCGGTCGGAACGTCTTGCGGTTAACCAATTAGCAATTCTGTAATCGATTGCCATCCCTAGTATTGATATATCTGTATATTGATACAGCCCTAATAAACATGGAGATTTAATGAATCAAAATGTTAACAAAGTTATTGTTCATGGAGTAAGAATGAACCACAAAACCAACAAACATTGGTCCCCCATGAGCAGTGGTAAGTTCACAGTGTCATATGAAATCATCTGGAACTCGAACATTTATCTTTTCACTGCTTTTGTTCAATGTTAAAAGATACAATTACATTGTTTTTCTCCATAATTTTAAGGTATACACGTGGGATGACATAGACCTTTCTATTAACAGTTTCACACCATCAGCTTGGAAGATTCCTGGGTAAGCAGATTTTTTTTCTTCTAGCCCACAAGATCTTTAGGGGGAAAATCCCCCTTCAGCTGCGAAATTCTCAGGTTAGCTTGACTGCTGTCCATCATTCTGAAATATCGCAAGTAACCATTATTCAATTCAATCCACAGGCCTTTGGATCATTTTGAGTAACAAAATTGGGGGGGGGGGGGGGGGTATTAAAAAAATACCCTCCGTTTTGTCAGTCAAATTAAAATGAGCTAAAGGCCTGTTATTCAAACTGATAATTCTTCAGGGGAATTTTAAGTTAAGCATTATTTCATTATGACAACTTTAATTTGGTGTAATATAATACATGTGTATTTTAATTTTATTCTGGAAATAAAAGGGTAAGCATAATTCTTTCCCCTTATCCTGGGAGATTTCAGGGCAATTATGCCTATTATTTACTTACCCTGAAAGATTCCAGGAATATTAGTGTATTTCCTCGATCCCCTTAGTAATTTTGGGGTAATTATTCCTTCTTTTCCTCACCGTAAAGGTAATTTGCTTTAGATCATTACTTCATTTTCCTCAACCTAAAATACATTGAGGTAGTTAACTGTTAATTTTTTCTCATCTGAACAGATTACATTGTAAGTATTCACTTCAATACATGTAAGGTCAAAATCCTGTGTGATCAACTTTCTTTTTATAACAGTTCTATTTCTTGTAATGAGTTACTTTAAATGCATAGTTAAGGTATCCCCCCCACCCCACCTTCTTATTCCCCAAAACCAAAACAAATCCAAAAAAAAACTTCACTTCACTATACAGACATACATGTACCTATCATTTATTTGGAATTTACATTTTTAAATACTAAAAAATGATTTTTTTAAAGATATGAATCTATATATTTTTTTATCTGTTTATATGTACAGGTTGGATGGCAGCATCAGAAGTGTCAGTCTCTTGTCTAAGTCCCTGTTAGTTTGTGCTACAGAACTTCCATTGGAATCTCTTTGTAAAAACCAGGACATGTTTGATGCTCCCAGTAAGTATACTTAATATTAACAGTAAATGAAAAAAACCACAAGCATGAAGGATGTTGACAGTTTTGTAATGTCAGTGCTTTTTCTACAGTTCATGATTCTTTAAAATTCACCATTTGAACTAATATAAAGGTTTGTTTAGGTACATGTGCAAGTACATGGCAGTTGTTGTATTAAAATAAGGCCAAAGAAAAAATATGTTTATTTACTTTTTAAAAAAAGTACATGCCAATTAAAATAAGGTCAGTAGGTAAGGTAGGATTCTTTTTTATTTTTTATTTTGTTTTATTATTTTTTTTACATTAACTAAAGGCATTATTAGGGCCCCGCAAGGATTTGCGGGTGCCCTATAGTAATCACTCTGTCCGTCTGTCTGTCCGTCTGTCATTCTTCCGTCCACAAATTTTCTGTTTTTTTTCTGATAACTTCTTTTGTAGATGACCAATTAAGTTCAAATTTGGTATGTTAGTTGAAGAGGCAGTAAGACATATTTTGATGCTAAGTTTGGTTCTCTATGTCATCCAGTTTGGAGCTGGGGTGGTGGGGTAGATTCCTTAACTTTACATTAGAATGAATGCCAGGGCAAAGAGAGATAACTCCTGAGAATGTTCTGATTGTAAACTATGAAAGCTGCAACTAGTCCCATGGGATTAATTAACTTTCCTCTTGAAGAAAATCCAAAGCATTATCTGTTTCTGTCAAATTGAGATTAATTAACACCTCTGTCTGCAAATGAAGTTTGTTTTGAAGTTAAGGTCAATTCTGAATGATGTTCACATTCTCTGAAATGTGGATTTTATTAATGTTCATACTTTATTTTGGTAAAATACACAATGAGTTATGATTTTATTACAAGATATACATAAAGATATGCTTTTTTATTTTTTTGTTTTTATTTATTTATTTATTCATTTTATTTATTTATTCTTTTTTTTTTTTGCTGTTGTATGTAAATTTAAGAATACTATTAATTTTAACAAGTAGTCTGATAATAAACTCATTCTATCATTACTGAAAAAATTCTTATTGTAAACTTGGAAGAAAAGATGAGAGAGCAGTACAGTTAGTCCCCTGGGATTAATTATCTTGTCTGGGGCAGAACATTTTCCAGGCTTATCTTTATTTGTCACTTTAAGATGAATTAACCTTTGTCTGCAGCTGATGTTTGTTTTAAAGTTAAGGTCAAGCCTGGGTGATATTTGCATTCACTGAAGGCTGGCATTTTATAAAACACATGCTTTATTCTTTTTAAATATACATTTAATTAAACAATAAAATGCTTTCTTTGGTTGTTAGTACGGGAATTAATGTCGCAGCTGTTGCAGAAAAAATACATAACCCGCTTACGCGGGTTATGTAATTTTTTTCTGCAACAGCTGTGACATTAATTCCGGTACTAACAATCAAAGAAAGCATTTTATTGTTTATATTTATGTCTGTATAAATAATCATTCAAAGTAGGATTAAAAAGGTAAAATATTGCATTATTGATATGTACGTCATTGTACGTTTCCTTGATGGAACAGCCACTGCTCAAGAAATCTGTACACGTGTTATACTCGGTGTTGTTTACGGACTGATAAATGGCAATGGTTTTCATAAGAAATAGAGGAAAAAAAAATTCAGTGGATGTAAATATTTGAGTTATTATAGATATGATGTTTTTTACTGCCTTTTGTAAATACAGGGATACTCTTTACAGGTTGTTGGATATTTAGGAATTATCTTGAAATTTTATAAATACAGTTGTTATTGCATATTCTTCTTCATATATTGTTTTAATTTTTGTAATCAATTAAAATTCTCATTCTGTAAGCTGCACCCTTGTATTTCTACCCCTCAGCGGGGCCCTTGCTGACCGGTCAGTTTTCTAGTTTTTTTTTTTTTTTTTACATTAACTAAAGGCACAAAACTGTTTGACTGTCTGAAGCTCACTTTTTCTTCTTGCTATACAGTTTAATATTTCTTCTTCAAGAAGTACATGTTGCTCTAATGATCTTCAGTAGAAGATTTAGGTCATCTTTTTATTTATTAAAATAGTTGTTTTCAAGACACCCCCCCCCAAAAAAAAAACCCAAAACATTTGGTTCAGTGCAAAAATTTGGGGTTGATCAGGTAACCATAAGCAAACACCTTTTTTTTCTTAGATCCCAAATTCTATGATAAAAAAATTTAGGTCTTTTTTTTTCCTTTGATACATTTGTACTATTTTTGTTTTACAGCAGTGTTGAACGGAGACAATCTTCCCCAGAGCAATGATTCTGACATAATCGTGCCAAAGAAACAAACCTCCTCACAATCAATTACAGGTGTGCTGTTAAACCTGCCCAAAAATCCACAGGTAAAACATAGGTCCAGGTTTTCCAGGGATGACCAAAAAATGCCTCAGAGCACCTTAAATTATGAGTTGTTTATAGACATGTAACAATCATTATACCATTTAATGATAAAATCCTTTACCTACCAAGTCAAAGAGTAACTAAGGATTAAAGTTAAGTAAAATTTTATATTTAGTTTACTGTCATCTGTGTTAATATTAAGCACTTTTGCTGATATAAATGTTTGCAAACTTAATCTGGTGCTTTATTTTTTTTAAACTTTAAAGATAGTGGCCATTAAAGAAGATAGGATTGAAAGGTTTCAAAATGAAAAAGGAACTGACTTATATGTTGATAGTATAAAGTTGAAAGAAAGATATGATGTGTATTACTGCTAAATTCATTACTGTGTTTTAAATAGCCCAAAGCTTTCATAAAATATATCACTATTTTTTGGTGTTTGTCAGAGTATCATTCAGGAGACAGCACAGTTAGTGACCGTCTATTTACGTGAGAACAGAGACCCCCAGAGGAAGAGCTGTGTGGGGGTCAAGGGTCTCCTGTCCCCAGAGGTTCTGATTTATGAGGTAATTAGTCTTTAGAAGACCTAATGGGGTCATACATGGCATATTAAAACCTGAGGGAGAGTCAAGTCTGATGGAGATTAATAGCTTTTTTTGAGTTACTTCCCTTTTCAAGAGTCTTCTGTGAAAGAGAACAGAAAAGTATGCCAAGAGGGACAAGAATAATATTAAACTTTCTTAAATGTCTTCATAGAAAAGAAGAGAAATGATTTACTGGGGGTTTTTCTTGAAGGAGTAAAAATATGTTTAAAAATGATAGAAAATATCCTTTGTGGACACTGGATATGATAGCATACACAGGATTATACTTGCCCCATGCTATTTTTGCACTTGCAAACAATTTTGCCACATTTTAAATTCACCCATACACAGTTGTGTCAAATAGTTAATGCTGTCTTTGTTGAATTTGCAAAAATTTCTCTGTATACAGTAATGGGGATTAAATTTTCAATCCTGTTTTTGATGGAAAATATTTCCATTTCTAGAGAGTTTCAACAAGGGTAGTATTACAAAAATGGCTTACTTTCTTTTGATGAATTGGCTGGCCTTTTTTCAATTTGAAATGAGAATTACATTATTATAACTGCTAAATTTTCTTGAAAACTATAATTTATTAATAACATCATATAATTACATTTTTTTTGTTGATCATATTTAATTGTGATTGATTTTAAGAAAAAACTTTTAATAGCCCAGCTTGAGGTCACTTGTTGTTGGGAGTAACACCCAGAATGTGCTGCAGGTATTTACATTCACCAAGGAGGGACCATCTGGCGATCTGGTCAAGTCAGCAGAAATTGTAAGTACTCATGTCCTCTTAACAGACCGAGGCAAAGTGATTTAAGGATGCATCACACAAACAAAAATTCGACGAATGGATTGATGTATATTTTTTGATTGATTTTGAATAGAAAAAATGACATTAACAATAAATCCCCAAAAATGTAAAGAAATCAAAAGTCTCCTTTGGTGCTTAAATATGTGACTTTGTGGTACGTGTTTTCTATGTAAATCTATACACAATTTTGCACACAGTTTTTAACATTGTTAAAAAAATCTTACAATATTTCCCACAAACCCTGGTGTGTTCATTAACATTATTCAGGTCACCTATATGAATATAAATCAGTGAGAAATATTGCTAATTACTGGGGAAAAAAAATAGTTATCATTAATTAATGCCTCCTTCCTATTTGTCCCTGTCTCAAGTTGTACATTGGGCCACTTTCTACCATCACTTTATTATTCTCTTTGGGGTTTTTCCAGCTTATTGATAAATTAAGCAAGATTTACATGTATTTATATAATCTACTGTTGTTCTTGATTCTTTTTAGGTCACAAAATCACTCTGGTGGCCTACTTTTATCCCTTGCCAACTGCCAAGTATTCTGCAAATTTCTTAAACTTTTCATATTTTTGATTTCTCCATAATCACAGGGCCATTTTCATAAAAAAAAAAAAATTCATAAAAAAGGATTACAATGTGATAGGGATTCAATGTTCTCGAAATGAAGGACTAGGCCCATTTCCATGGAGAAATAATTAAGAAAAAGTGAAAATAAGGTGGTGTCATATAAAAATCTTCTTCAGAGTCCACCAACCCAGAAATGTGTGACCCTCAAGAAAGGGATTGGAACACAAAAGGGGTCAAAAGCTTTACATTTAAATATAAAAGAAAATTCTTTTAAAATATTCTTCCCAAGAACAACAGGGCTCGCAATTGTCAAACTTGTATGCATGGATCTTAATAAAGGGAGATTCAATTTTAAGCTGTGACCACTGGGGTTTACAATTTGCAAAAAAATTCATAGGAAAATTCTTTAAAAATTACCAAGCTGCACTAGGCTTTCAAGTTTTTCAGGGTAGCACTAAGATAAGAAAAAAAAATAATGTGGCTCAGAATAAAATGCTAAGTGACACTCAGATGACAATTAGAACCCATGTCCTCTTCTTTTGCATAATTTATCCACAATACTGTGATGTTTTACTGTCAGGAACTTTTAAGTTCCCTGCCCATGAAATCAGAGGAGACTATAGGTTTCCTTTTTTGTCTGTCCATCCATCTGTCCATCTGCCTGTCAGTCTATCCCACTTAATTTTCTGCACTTTTTTTCTAAACGCTTGCAGATATTGTGCTGATTTTTGGTATGTGAGTGTACATTGATGAGTTACAGAATAAGTTTGCATCTCAATCCACTTTGATTATTTATGATGAGTTACTCCTTTTAAAACTTTTAAAGGGAACCAGATTTCACACTTGGATTTCCACACATTTTTCCTGAATGCTTGCAGATATTGAGCTGAATTTTTGGTATTTGAGTCTACCTTAATGAGTTGTAGATCAAGTTTGTGTTTTGTTCCACTTCATTGTTTTTTGTGGAATTAAAGCCTTACGTTTTTTAAGGGGAACCATGTTACACTTGTTGGTAGGGGACTAGTATTTCTTATGCAATACTCTTTGAGTGCTTGTTTACTCTAGTTACATTGGATATTAATTCTCAATTCTTTTTGAACAGCAAATGGACAAATTAGAAAGATCTAAAGGAATTAGTTTAATTCCTAAAGATTCAGCCATTGGTTACAAAGGAATACTTATCGCAACCGGAACAAAGAAAAACAACGACTCAACCTTTCTACCATCAACATCAGGATCCAACATGGATGTCAAACTAAAGTTCTTCTCCATAGATGTTGGTAAGATCTGTCAATTTAATTGTATTAATAAATTTTGTTATTCTAATGGAGTTAACGGATTTTCAACTGATGGCATTTCAAACATAAAAGGTTTGATTTCCAACCTCATATCGATGAAATCAGTGATTTGGTCTTTTTTAATGCAGAAAATCTAGTTTATATCACATATATTTTAGTAAGATTAACATAAACAACTGACCAGCCATTGTTGTTTACAACTTATCATGGTTATGTGATCCCTATTTTATTAACTCAGATTTTTAATTCAGGGATTTTTACTTGAGTCAAATAATGTTTAGTTAACACGGTATATCTGCACCAAAACACACATTTTATAAACTGTGATCGTAAGGAACATAGTGCGCTTTTAAGTACTTGAGAAACATGCAATAAGTTTTTTAAGGCCAGGCAATAATACTGGTATTCACATACATAGTGTTAAAGTCAAAGAAAATGTTGTATTGTGAAACGCTTTTAAATTACCAATGCTTTTTATACAAGTTGGGATTGAAAAAGATGCGGGAGTTGAAAAACCAAGAAATTCACATGTCAAAATGGAGCATGGTTATGCTTGTTATGATTTCTAGATATTAATCTTAGATGCATGATATTAATTCTAAAATGGCAAAAAGTGAAAATTTTGATAGCTTTGGGATTTTTAAAAATCTTTTTAAACTTAGGTAAATTTGGTAATGGGATCTCTGCAGGTTTGTTAAGAGTGAAAATCACTAAACTGCAACTTAATCTCTCTAATTTTACCTGTTTTAAATATTAATTTTCATCTCAAATAGAAGAATTGTCAGTGTGTAATAACTGTACATGTACATATCATATTTAATACCAGTTAAGTTGTAATTTGTCAACAAAACTTGACAAAAACTCTGTACAATATGACAACATTCTTTATCAGATGTGGCGGCCCCAGTTGGCCATCACAAGAACTAGGATTAAGTTCTTTTTTATGTTAGAGAAACTTTTATTTCTTAATATGATATTGCTTTTTGTCCCAGTTCAACCTTTAAAAAAAACTAGTATTAATTGTAACGGGGACCGTTACAGATGTTCCCCAAACGCTCCCCAACTCCCTTTTGGTGTCTTATTTCCTGTAAGCTTCATTAAATAAGGCAATTAAATATATTGGTCATTTAACGCATTTCACGCGCGCGCACGTGCATGCATGTGCAGGTTGACAACATCATTCCGTCTGTACTATAAATGCATCTTTATATTCTCAGTATCAAAACATTTCATCAAAAAATATATAAGTTCCGGCTATATCAAGTATATTGGTCATCTTAGCATTGCGCGCACGCGCACCTGTATGCATGTTCATAATGACCATGCCATTTTGTCTACACTTATGATATGTCTGTTTATTCTTAGTATCAAAGCTTTTCATAAAAAAATATAAAAGTTACGGCTATATTAAGTATATTGGTCATTAAACACATTGCACGCGCGCGCATGTGCATGCATGTGCATGATGGCCACATCATCTTGTCTACACTTTTAATATATCTGTATATTTTTAATATCAAAGCTTTTCATAAAAAAATATAAAAAGTACGGCTATATTAAGTAAATTGGTCATTTAACACATTGCACGCGCGCGCACGTGCATGCATATGCATGCATGTGCATGATGATCATGTCGCCTTGTCTACACTTTAAATACATACAAATATTTTGAGTATCAAAGCATTTCATCAAAAAGTTTCAAAGTTACAACTATATCAAGTAAATTGGTCATTTTACGCTTTGCGCGTGCGCGCACGTGCATGCATGTGCATGTTGACCATGTCATCTTGTTCATACTTTTAATATATCCTTATATTCTGAGTATCAAAGCATTTCATCAAAAAATATAAAAGTTACAGCTATTTCAAGTATATTGGTCATTTTACGCATTGCACGCGCACGCACGTGCATGCACGTGCGCGCAAAATGACCTTCGTTCCGCAAATCTACATAACATGCCTAGTAACCCTAAAAAGGTTTCACCTCAATCGGATGTGTAGTTTCGGAGATCACTCACGGACAAAAAAGTACCCAGGAAGAAAAATAATAATAACTAGATGAGATCTCGTTGCGAGCAACGAGTAGGTCTTCCGTCCGATTTTTCGATGAGATATGATTTTGACCATGATCTTTGTTAAAAGAAAATAATATATAGACTTCCCTAATTAGATTTCATTCTTTTGATTTATATGTCATTATCAAAGAGCTATAGATGACATGCTTTTGGCCCCTCTGAGCCCCTAGTTTGAGGGGTCAGCCCCCTCTTCTTGATATCAAATGAAAGGTCTTGTGATTTTGAAGACTTTTTGTTCAACAACTATTCAGAGATTTCTTTTCGTTGTGGAAATATGCTGAATGGAAATATTTAGGGGCCACCCCTCTAAGTCCTTAATGGGGCCGTTTGACAAAAATTGAAAGGGTTCATATTGTTTAGAACATTATTCTGACCATCTTTTGTTCAGTATTGCTTATCAAAATATTCCCCCTTTTCTAGATATAAAGCGTCAAAAATTTAGCATTCTGGCCCCTTGTGATCCCTTATTACGTAACACATGATCAGAATCTTATCATATATTGTTGTAAATCGTTAAGATAAACATCTTTGCTTCAGTAATGTGTTACAAATTATTGTTCGTCGAAGAGTTATAGATGAAAGACTTTTGGCCCCTCTGAGCCCCTAATTTGAGGAGTCAGTCCCTTTTTCTTGACATCAAATGAAAAGTCTTGTGATTTTGAACATTTTTTGTTCAACAACTATTCAGAGATTTCTTTTCGTTGTGGAGATATGCTGAATGGAAATATTTAGGGGCCACCCCTCTAAGTCCTTAATGGGGCCGTTTGACAAAAATTGAAAGGGTGCATATTATTTAGAACATTATTCTGACCATCTTTTGTTCAGTATTGCTGATAAAAATATTTCCCCTTTTCTAGATATAAAGCGTCAAAGATTTAGCATTCTGGCCCCTTGTGATCCCTTATTACGTAACATATGATCAGAATCTTATCATATATTGTTGTAAATCGTTAAGATAAACATTTTTGCTTCACTAATGTATAACAAAATATTGATCATTAAAGAGTTATAGATGAAAGACTTTTGGCCCCTCTGAGCCCCTTACTTGAGGGGTCAGCCCCTTTTTCTTGATATCAAATGAAAGCACTTATCATTCTGCACAACTTTTGTTATTATAGTTTAACAAAATATTTACAGGTATAAAGATATGATAGAAAACTTGTCAAATTTTGCGAGATGCTTGTGAGCCTATTTTTCGAGCCCAGGCGAGCTTTGGCGCCTTTTGCGCTGGAAAGTAATGGACGCAAAAAAGCACATCTACAATCCCTCCTCTACCTTCACTGAGAATCTCAACTCAATATCTTTATTCGTTTTGGAGTGATTACCAGGACAAGCCGACCCTCTGAAAATCAGATAATTGTCTATATCTCACGACCGGAAGTGACGTCATCAATATAAAAAATTTCCAATAAGGTTCAGGTCAATATCTATCAAATCTGAAAGTTTCATGAAAATCGACCGAGTGGTTTCCGAGAATTCGCGTGCACAAAATCGGTAAGAAAAAAAAAGAATAATAATAATAATAATAGGGAAAAAGAAACCGAACGAAAACAATAAGGTCTTCCGTTGGAGACGGAAGACCTTAATAATAATAATAAGAAACAGAGTAAAAACAATATGTTCCCAAACTTCGTTTGGGGAACATAATTAATATTATATCCTAGTACCAAAAAAATGTGATATGTATAGTACCGGTATATAGCAATATCTAAAATTCTTAGCAATGAATACATGTGGGCCTACTTTCTTTATGGGATGTTTTTTTAATGCAATCTGATTTTTTTCCAATTTAAATAGTGAAAGAGCTTGTTTATGAAATAAGGACATTTGATTTTATACAAAATTTTATATCCATCATTATGTGTGGAAGAGTATTATATGGTATCAATTACAAGTACCTGCATTGTGGCCATGAAGAATCATTGGATTGTAGAAGTATTTTAATATTATTATTGAGTTAAATATCCTCCTTTCAGCTGTGTTTAAATGAGAATTGAAGAGACAGAATTCTGTATGACTCTATTTATACACACACAGCACATGATATGTCCTTCCTGAACCCAATTCTTACGTCCTGTGTCTATCATTCCTCGAGCAAGGCTAGATATGTTATAGGATTATATGCATGTACATGTATATCTTGCTTAAAGTGGTACTCATCCTTCAAGTCGCTATAGTAAGGATATATCTGTTTAAGTAAAATGATAGAAAATTGACAGTTTTCAAGTGTTCTAATGAGCTACTTCTTCAGAAACTTGACCTATAGTACAGGTACTTGGAGTCAAAAAGATTGAAATTTGGACTACGGAAGAAATTAAAACTTTAAAATTTTAAAAAGTAATTGAATTAGTAATTTGAAGATTTTTGTACTATATTAAATATAGTATTGGTGTGTGTTAAATGACTTTCAGATATTTTATTATTAATATGTTATTTTTTCTTCTTTTCATGAATTTTATTTTTATCATCATGTTTATGGGTGTACTGGGTGAAAATCTCATCTAAATATTAACAAACATATGTTTAGTTTACATGTATCTTAATATGTTGTATTACTTTCTTTTTCAATATTTTAAGCTGAAATATCTTAAATTATACAATCCTTATTCATACGTGGTGAAATAGTTTGAAACTTAATAAAATGATGTATTTCTAATGGGAAATCGGACGTGTGGTGTGAAAGGTTTTGTCAGGAAATTTGTGTGCACTTCTATTCTTCCTGTTCGGTATAGGGGAAGTAAAATAAACCTTAGTCACCCACAAAACTCTGTCACATTCAGTGTTACATTGGTGAGTATCTGCAGGGTAGAAAAACTTGCATTTAAAACAAACAAATTGTTCTGTTATTCTTTGTTCTATGGAAAACATGACTATCGAATATCATTGATGTGTGTTACAAATGGAAATGATGAAATTATCATATGCTTTTCAGAGCTACTGCTTTATTCTTTTGTTTTTCTTTTAAATATTCTAGCAGGTAGTGTTAATAACAAAAGTGAGTAAAAAGTAATCGTTAACAGGTTTCTAATTCTTATTTTTCTCTGTAGATCCACTATGCATCCAGCCGGACAAAAATTTAAATGAATCTGCTGACTCATCAGAATCAGTGTGCAGTAGTCTGTCCTCCATAGAATCACCAAGGCAACAAATCAGAGTGAAGATGGAGCTTGAACAAACAGAATCTTCAGACAATCTAAATGAAAATACTGTTCCTAAATGTGATTCTGAGGATACCACAACTAGTGCAGATTTGTACCTCCCCAAGCAGAAAACACGTACTGAACTATGTGATCCATCTGATACGGATTCAGAAGCATCACCAAGGGAAGTAACTCCAAGATCAGATCAAAATGACAATTCAAACATTGATATTCCAAACCAATTTGACACAGACTCCAAACTCTCTTCAGAGAGCCAAGAAACACGAGAAGAATCCATACCAAAGATAACTATTACTGATGTTATTGTTGCAGATACTGATGTTTCTCCAAGGGAGATAACCTTACTCTCTGCACCAGATAACTCGGCCAGATCTAAAATTGTGGACTTGAACCAATCCATCAGTGTTGAGAGTGATCTTGAGACAGAAAAGGTGGATTTTTCTGAGCAAGAAGCCAGATTCTGCTCAAGCATTAGTGTAGAGGACACTGAAGATGGAATGGATGAAGTCACAAAAAGTTTGAATTCCAGGCTGACTAAAGGAAGTGAGGAACAAGAAGGCAGTATTATTCCTGATTCAGATGTGATGAGGGTAGATTCTATTGGAGCTACACAGCAGCCATTAGAGGAAGTGCCTCCTAGTAATTCAGATGGGAAACAAATCTATGTTCAGAATAAAGATGGAATGGATGAAGTCACAAAAGATTTGAATTCAAGGCAGATTAACACAGCAAATGGGGATGAAGAGGGTAGCATTATTCCAGATTCAGATGTGATGAGGGTAGATTCTATGGGAGACAGAGCTACACAGCAGCTGTTAAAGAGAGCACCTGTCAGCGAGTCAGAAGGGGAACAGATCTATATCCAGGATGAAGATGAGGTACTCAAAATAGAACAGATGGAACAGGAACTTCTTGAACAGGTATATAAACATGGAATAGATCTAAACAATTGAACAGGTATGTAAACATGGAGAATAGATCTATACAATTGAATAGGTATATAAACATGGAATAGATCTATACAATTGAACAGGTATATAAACATGGAATAGATCTAAACAATGTGCTGGAATTTTATAAAAGAGCACACTCTTAAAGGTGTTTTTGCAGTGGTGTGGCTAGTTATACTCCTGTAGGCCGTAGCATCCACATCATTTTTAAGAATGTGATGGGAAGAGAGAAGTTAAATATTTAGAACTGAACTAGATTTCAGAGAATGGAATAAAATTAATTACATTTATTTCATTGTATATATATATATATATATATATATATATATATATATATATATATATATATATATATATATATAGTGAAGAATTAAATCCAAGATTAACAAACAAGTTCAAATTAAATACACTTAGCGCTTTCGTCGTGCAGCTGTTCAGAGTGTAACAAAATTTATAAAAACAATACAACTTTGTATGACATTGTTATTGTGACGTCACAAAGGCAGCATAATACATTGGAGCAGGTAAATTTCAATTGGGCACCAAAGGTCTATAATTGAACATAAATGAAATGTACTCCTTAATACAGTGGATATCAGTTAAATATTTTTAATTCTCCTAAATGTGTCAATTATAGGATCTACAGAACAAACTTTGGTCTAGATAAATATTTTTCTTTGTTACCCTATGACCTTGTTCATATTTTAAGCAAATTTCGATGTGTTAGTCACAGATTACCTATTGAATGTGGAAGGTTTTTAAATATAGATAGAGCAGAAATTGGAGATATTGGAGACGAATTTCACTATATTTTTAATTGCAATTTTTTCAATGATGAAAGAAGAAAGTACATGTATACCTGAAAAAGTTTACAAAGTGAAAAATATCAATAGTTTTGCTAACCTGTTTAACAGTGATGATAAAGTTACCTTAATTGGCTTGGCAAAATTTTGTAACTAAAGATTGTTATGTCTTTATTTCACTCTTGAAATTCCTTCCAATACCTCTAAATTAATATTGTATATATGTTAATCCTTTGTTCATTTGTTACCTTTTCATTGTTGATTTATTTCTTTTTGTACTTTTAAGCCTCATGTGAGGCTGTAAAGTGAAATAAAATGTTTCAATGTTTGATATAGTTTATAGGATATAGTTTTCATATCCATGGTTGTGATGTCACAATGGCTTTTGTGTGAATTTGATCAAGTCAAATATTATGGATTTACACATATAAAACAGTTTTAAACAGGATATATATATTATTGAGGCCATATTCCAAAGGCAAATTTTAATTTGTTAACTAGCACTTTTTTTTCATTTATTGTTTAATTTTTGTTTTTAAATTATTGCAGAGTAAGCAAATTCAACAGTTGAGTGAAAAGGTAGCCAAAATTGCACAGTAAGTTACCAAAGGAAATATTTTGATCACCTGTAACAGACCAAAAGAAAAAAAAAGTTTTAGAGGTTACTTCCCTTTTTATGTGTAATCACTGATATATGTACTTATGTTATACTGAAGTTATTTCCCTTTGAAACAATGCATGAATTCAAAATATTAATTGTAAGACATAGATAATTTTTTAATGTTTCAAATTTTTCAAATATTAATTGAACAAGAAATATTAATAATATAAATGATTTGTATTTTTTTTTTTAAAAAAGCACAAAATAAAAAGAATATTCTTTTAACTTTAATTTATAGTGTTTGAAATTCAAAATATTAAAAATGAAATTAAGTACATTTGAAAACAGTATAAAAGTTTTTGGAACCAAGGTAATAATTACTCTGGTTTCTCTTCAATCCACGATTAAATCTTTCGCCTTTTACTAAAGATTTCCGTGGAGAGGAACATAAATGAGTCTATAGACTTATTTTTGCAGCCCTACACAAGTAGGGTAATAAAACAAAGTAAAACGTAGAGTCCACTAATGAATAAGATTGTGCTAAGTGCCACTATGTGTGTCAAATTACTTCCTTCAAAAACTTGAATATGCTGTGATAACTCCATATTTTATAAATGATATTAATATACTATTTTGCAGGAGGGTTGATGAAACCACATTAGTCTTCCCAACTCGATATCAAAGTATAGAAAACCCAGGTTGGTATAAATTCTTACTACAGTGTTAGGGAGGAAGCTTTAAACAATAAGGAAAAAAATGTTTTCTGGACTTCGAGAAAATTGTATCATTGAGAGGTGTATACATTCTGTTTATCTAGTTCATTTCCAACATAGGGTACCTGCCATATTTCTCCGGGAAATATGTTCAAAGACAGTGAAGTATTAGTGAACAGAGATCACTGCTGTTTACTTACATTTTGGAATACATGCTAATAACATTTTTAATTACTTAACCTCAAGTTGTCATTTACTGTAGGTTTAAGTCTGTTCCATTTAACAAAAAGGGCAGTTCACTCTGACTTCATAAAACTATCATGGATTAGAACTCTTCAATGAGCGACATTTAGAGCTTTCTCGAGATATATTGTAAAATGATAAAAATTCATAAATCATTCTCCTTTTTTTCCCAATTTATCTATATAGCTATTTAAAGTCAGTCTGACCCTAAAATAGAAATCAAAAAGTATATACATGTATATTGATGCTTGCTTGGGGATGGCTCCATTTCTGTTTTTCTCACATTGAAATTTAATACCTATAACCCTTTTGGATTTGACAAAGAGTGGATGTAACTGAATGATTATAAAAATTAAAACTGTTTTCTGATAATAAAATGTCATTAATGAACTTAAATGAACTTTCAAATGAATATTGCAGACACTGTGTTAATAGTCTGTAGATGTCCTAATAAGAAAACAGCCAGGAAAACTTTCTTACTAGACAATGGAAGGCTAGCTTTGGACACTGTAAAGACCAGCTTTAACCTGGACACTGTAGAGATATTTATAGGTAACACTCTCAAGCAACAGAGCTTAATGGATAAAAAGCTTTAAAATTTGATATATTTTGTGCACAGATCCTCCAAATTTCAAGCACTTACCTTTTAATATTTGCTTCTTTTTTTTTTCTTTTTTAGCTCACCTGAGCCGAAGGCTCAAGTGAGCTTTTCTGATCACATTTTGTCCGTCGTCCGTCCGTCTGTCTGTCCGTCCGTCTGTAAACTTTTCACATTTTTGACTTCTTCTCAAGAACCACTGGGCCAATTTCGACCAAACTTGGTACAAAGCATCCTTGGGTGAAGGGGAATTTAAATTGTTAAATTGAAGGGCCAAGTCCCCTCACAAGGGGGAGATAATCAAGAGAAGACAAAAATAGGGTGGGGTCATTAAAAAATCTTCTTCTCAAGAACCACAGGGCCAGTAAAGCCGAAACTTATATGGAAGCATCCTGGGGTAGTGTAGATTCTAAATTGTTAAAATCATGACCCCCGGGGATAGGGCGGGGCCACAATAGGAAATACAAGTTTTACATTGAAATATATAGGAAAAATCTTTAAAAATCTTCTTCTCAAGAACCACTGAGCCAGAAAAGCTGAAACTTATGTGGAAGCATCCTGGGGTAATGTAGATTCTAAATTGTTAAAATCATGACCCCCGGGGGTAGGGTGGGGCCACAGTAGGGAATACAAGTTTTACATTGAAATATATAGGAAAAATCTTTAAAAATCTTCTTCTCAAGAACCACTGAGCCAGAAAAGCTGAAACTTATGTGGAAGCATCCTTGGGTAGTGTAGATTCTAAATTGTTAAAATCATGACCCCCGGGGGTAGGGCGGGGCCACAGTAGGGAATACAAGTTTTACATTGAAATATATAGGAAAAATCTTTAAAAGTCTTCTTCTCAAGAACCACTGAGCCAGAAAAGCTGAAACTTATGTGGAAGCATCCTGGGGTAGTGTGGATTCTAAATTGTTAAAATCATGACCCCCGGGGGTAGGGCGGGGCCACAATAGGGAATCCAAGTTTTACATTGAAATATATAGGAAAAATCTTTAAAAATCTTCTTCTCAAGAACCACTGAGCCAGAAAAGCTGAAACTTATGTTGAAGCATCCTGGGGTAGTGTAGATTCTAAATTGTTAAAATCATGACCCCCGGGGGTAGGGCGAGGCCACAATAGGGAATCCAAGTTTTACATTGAAATATAAAGGAAAAATCTTTAAAAATCTTCTTCTCAAGAACCACTTAGCCAAAAAAGCTGAAACTTATGTGGAAGCATCCTGGGGTAGTGTAGATTCTAAATTGTTAAAATCATGACCCCCAGGGGTAGGGCGGGGCCACAATAGGGAATTCAAGTTTTACATTGAAATATATAGGAAAAATCTTTAAAAATCTTCTTCTCAAGAACCACTGAGCCAGAAAAACTGAAACTTATGTGGAAGCATCCTAGGGTAATGTAGATTCTAAATTGTTAAAATCATGACCCCCGGGGGTAGGGCGAGGCCACAATAGGGAATCCAAGTTTTACATTGAAATATATAGGAGAAATCTTTAAAAATCTTCTTCTCAAGAAACACTGGGCCAGAAAAGCTGAAACTTATGTGGAAGCATCCTGGGGTAGTGTAGATTCTAAATTGTTAAAATCATGACCCCCGGGGGTAGGGCGGGGCCACAATAGGGAATCCAAGTTTTACATTGAAATATATAGGAAAAATCTTTAAAAGTCTTCTTCTCAAGAACCACTGAGCCAGAAAAGCTGAAACTTATGTGGAAGCATCCTGGGGTAGTATAGATTCTAAATTGTTAAAATCATGACCCCCGGGGGTAGGGCGAGGCCACAATAGGGAATCCAAGTTTTACATTGAAATATATAGGAAAAATCTTTAAAAATCTTCTTCTCAAGAAACACTGAGCCAGAAAAGCTGAAACTTATGTGGAAGCATCCTAGGGTAATGTAAATTCTAAATTGTTAAAATCATGGCCCCCTGGGGGTAGGGCGAGGCCACAATAGGGAATCCAAGTTTTACATTGAAATATATAGGAAAAATCTTTAAAAATCTTCTTCTCAAGAACCACTGAGCCAGAAAAGCTGAAACTTATGTGGAAGCATCCTGGGGTAGTGTGGATTCTAAATTGTTAAAATCATGACCCCCGGGGGTAGGGCGGGGCCACAATAGGGAATACAAGTTTTACATTGAAATATAAAGGAAAAATCTTTAAAAATCTTCTTTTCAAGAACCACTTAGCCAGAAAAGCTGAAACTTATGTGGAAGCATCCTCAAGTAGTGTACACTCTAAATTGTTCAAATCATGACCCCGGGGATGGGGGGGGGGGGGGCACAATAGGGAATCCCAAGTTTTACATTGAAATATATAGGAAAAATCTTTAAAAATCTTCTCAAGAACCACTGAACCAGGAAAACTGAAACTTATGTGGAAGCATCCTGGGGTAGTGTAGATTCTAAATTGTTCAAATCATGGCCCCTGGGGGTAGGGCGGGGCCACAATAAGTATTACAAGGGGGGAAGTCTGGTAATGAACAGCATGGCCAAAGTTACTCAGGTGAGCGATGTGGCCCATGGGCCTCTTGTTTTTTTTTTTAGGTTTAGTGATACTTGTAAAAAACAAAACACAGTGGTGTTATTCAGTATTTTAATCAATTGAAAGTCACTGTTTAGTTATTCTTCTTTATCAAAGACTTAAAAGTATATCAGGTGTAACTGGAAAGGAGGAAATTGTATGGCTGGACTGGGAATTGAACCCAGGACCCCTGCATCACTAGTCGTGCTCTAATTACTGAGCTACCCCAGGCCGATATCCACTGCTCAAACCTTTACATTCCTCCCTTAAATTGTCTTCACCCTCAAAGACAAAACCCAAGCACTGTATACAGGGTTATTTTTGCCCTTTTACACTTGCAAATTATTTTGCCCCATTTTGAATTCACCCAGACACAGTTCTGTTTAAGAGTTCATGCTTTTTCTTTGAATTTGCCCAGTTTTAAATTCACCGAATTGCAACAAGGGCGAAAGGGTCGAAAATAAAACGGGGACGAAAATTTCCCTGTATACAGTATTTTTGCCCCATGCAGGATGTTCACCTACAAATGGGTGGTCAATGGCACCAAATTTTTTAACAGGAAAGGAGAAAATGTATGGCTGGACCCAATCTAATTAAAATTAGATGTTCCGAATCCGCTACCACTTCTCAAAGAAGCGGTAGCGGATTCGGAACTTCTAATTTTAATTAGATTGGGCTGGACCAGGAGTCAAACCCGGGACCTCTACATCACTAGTCAGGTACTCTAACAACTGAGCTACCTAGGCTGATATCCACGGCCCGAACCTTTATAAAGGAATGTCTCAACCACTGTCTAAATATTGATTATATTTTGTCCTTAATTACCTAATTTTAAGGAAACATGTTCCTGTGGATTTTTACATGAAATCCATGGATGATTATAAGAGACTTAATGCCCCAGAGAATCCATTTTCATATTTTGAAAAAAAAGGAATGTTGTAATGTTTAAGTGGTGTGAACAATACATTTTTTAGGAAAATAAAACTATCAGTTTATATCTCAAAAAAAAAAAAAAAATAGAGAAAATAATTATTACACATAGATTTATTTGCTTGAAAACAGTACATGATGAGGTCTGTCTGTGAACTCAGAGCTTACATTTTCGTCATCCTAAATATATATGTTTTTTACTACAGATTTTAATGATTATGTAGTCAAATGACAGATAACTAAAGAGTGATTAAATATTAACAGATTTGTATTCTTAGTTTATTTGATTTTGAATTACCAGATGGTGACCCCTGCACAGTGTCCAGTAATATAGATGGCTACATCCCTCTAAGGTTCCAACCTTCTTCCACTCTCATCATCCAGGGAAAACCCTCCAATCCCAGAATTCCACACCTTGTAGATTCTGGGGAACACAAGCATTACGATGCTGAAACTACAAATGGCACAATGTGTTAATTTTTCTTTACGTATGCCAAGAAATATTGCAGATACAATCAGAGAAACATTGAACATTTTAACATTTATCTTGAAGTGCTGTAAAGCGTTACAATATACAAATAGCTGAATCTGCTTTGCTAGTTTCTGTCATTTTATCAGTAAATGATATACATTTCTATCTAATACATGTAGTTCAATACATGTATCAAAATATTTGGAAAGACTGTGAAGATTTGAATAGAAAGCCATGTGTTTTATATCTGAACAAGCAGTAAGGAATATGTATCTTTACTTGTGTTCATTTTTTTTTTAAATTTTATTTTGTTCATTTTAGACAGTTTGCATTTTATGAGGAATACTGTTATCTGTTTTCTGAACATGGTGAAAAACTACCTTTTTACTCTTGTTATTTTGTTTTATTATATACCCAACTGTTTGTCACTCAGTTTTACTGTTGAATTTATGCAATCACGTGACGGTGTGATCCGACATTCTGGATCACCACACTGTGGTTTTCTGAATCCATATCACCCCTCTCTGAAACTGATGACGTAGTACACAGGTAAATGACGTTTTTATTCTCACGCATCAAAATGTTCCTTGACAAAATGGTTTGTTTACTGTATAAAAGTTAGGTAATTGATTCAAAAAAGTTTCCTTTTATTATATTTTGCTAGTTGTAAAGGGGTATATAATAAATTTATCATTATAACAGTAACTTGATCCGAAGAGCCGTATCACGTCGAGTTGACAGGCGCGGATCATCAGATCAAACGAGACGCTTCGCGTCTCGTTTGATCTGATGATCCGCGCCTGTCAACTCGACGTGATACGGCTCTTCGGATCAAGTTACTGTTATAATAATATATATATATCAGTTGTAGATCTGAATCGTTCAAAACCCCAGATGTGTTCTTCACTTCTTGTATTATTTTGAGAATTGTTTCTCATTTGTAAATATAGAATTTTTAAACAAAAATCATGATATTACATCAAATCATTGAAAAAGATTGTAAACTGTACAAGTTTTTAAAAGGCTTGTTTTTGTATTTAATTAAAATAACATTTTGTTCATGAATTTCATTTTATTTCAATTTCACACAACTGTTTTTATTCCCACACTTGTTAATTGACAATATTTAACAGATATACTTTTTAATTAATAAATGATCCAATCTCATTTTTGTGTCTTTTTCAGTTTTATTTTGGTATTTGTATTTGAACTTCGGTATCTCAAACACGGATACATGTATCTCAAATACCATGGATATGTCAAAGTGATTATGAAGTCCTAATCACGTATTTCTTAAGTATTTTATCCTAGAACCCTGAGATATCTCAAAGTTTTTTCTCGGTCCCATCCAATTCCAGATAATGAGGTTTGACCGTATTTGTAAACTCTGGTCATAATACCGTCTTCCAGACTATATGTTTAGTTATAATTTTAGTTTGCCTCATGTTTTTAATCTACTGCTGAATGAAACATGTTTTTCTGTTGTCAAGCTTGAAAAAAGTCCATAACTGAAGTCAAAATGTTCTTTTTAAAAATCAAAACTTTTTTATTCCCCCGCTATCAGATTGCTAAGGCATATAGTGTTACCCATTTCAATCTGTAAGTATCATTCCATTGTAGTTAGTTTTCTGACTTTTTTTGCTCTGCTTGTAGGTAGAGCTGATTTGGGGGATACTTAGTATGTGCCTTTTTATATTGATGACATACTGATCAAGTTTAAGATGGCATGTTGATTGACTTACTTTCTTCTATACCATAATCATCCATTCATTTAACGAAAGACATATTTGGTGACTGTCTGTCTACCCTGCTTAAATCGATAAAGATCCTCTGTCCGACCTTGACCTCTCAATTTCTCAATTTGCTTACATTGTTCCATTAAATATCAGTTTTATCTTATTTGTCAATACACAAAGGCATTTTGTTATACATAAGGGTATTTTAACCCATTGAGAATTTGCTACTTGTGACATTATTTGTAAAGTAGAATGGCAGATTTATTTTGCCACTCTTACTATTTGTTGGAGCCACAGATAGAATACTTACAAGTAGTAGGGGGTTTAATGTACATTAGTACAGTGTTACTAATTGTTAAATATTCATAACCAAATTGTGCAATTTAGGAATATGTTATTAATTGTAAACAACTATTTGGAGGATTTCCTATTCATATCTTTTAGAATAAGTCTTTCTTCACAATTTAATGCCAGTAAACAAACAGATTTAAATTCAGTAAGGTTCTTGTCAACAAGTCGTCAAATTCTGGTTACTCTTGTAAAACCAGGGATTTTTCTCATACTTTTTCATCTCAGTCCATGCCCTCTTCAGCATTACCGAAATCTAGTGGAGGAAATCAGACACTCATCATATTGCCTCAGCCATGTTCTGACGTAAACCTTGAAGGAAATACTGTCATGCAGCCTAAAGAATCATGTGAAACCAGCAATTGATATGAACTTAACCCCTTTCCTTCTCTGTTATGATGATTACAAAATTATATGAAGAAAAAGTCACTGATGAAATTTAAACATACATACCATACTTCGGTGAGTCATTCTAACATGCATAGTCTCAGATTCTTTCTTTGACCTTCTTTGACCTTTGTGTTTTCTTCTCTATAATTTGCTACACACACAGAATATCTCTTTCACATCAGCAATATCTGACATATAACCACCCATTTTATATTAATTTGTCTCCCACTTTTTACCATAGCATTTATAAACTTCTGAAGATCTTGACCTCTCTCTGACCTTGACCTCAATTTCTTTCCGTATGTGTCGTATTTCCTTTTTATATCCTGAAAGATTTTCCCCCCTTTACCTACACATACAGACGTGATTTAGTGACTGTCACTCTTTGACCCCAGCACTTTTAACCTCTATCTGACCTTGACCTCTCCGTGTCTCATTTGCTCTTCAATTCAGACCAGGAAGAGTCTGTTGTTGTCCTTGTTTTTTCTTCTCTATCATTTTCTACACAGAGGCATCTTGATGCATGTAGGAATATCTCTTGGATATCGAAAATGTCTTACCACCAACTCAGACCTCTCCTTTCTTACGTGAATGTGGCTCCCATTTTCTACCAGTAATCAGCAATTACTTATTCATACGAATTAAGTATGTTACGATGCAGTATACCATTAAATTTTGAATTATATATAACCCTACTGACGTAGAGTTTCAAAAATAAGTCTATAGACTCATTTATGTTCCTCTCCACGGAAATCTTTAGTAAAAGGCGAAAGATTTAATCGTGGATTGAAGAGAAACCAGAGTAATTAACGTCATGTAACTTCCAAATTGTTATGTATTTCTCAAATATATTTCATCTCGTTTTTAAACATTACAATTTCACAGATCTAAAATGACAGTTTTGAATAGCAGCTTACAAGTGCTTGCATTTTTACATAAGCAGTAGATGCTAACTACAGAAATGAAAATTCTTGTTAACTTTAAGTCATGTTCAATTTGATGAAGCCGAAAATGTGTTATTTCTACAATTTATAATACAGGTATCTTGTCTAAGGGAAATAACTTCAGAATTCTAATGATTCTTTTCAACAAATTTTCAGTCAGTAACGCATATCATCTGTGAATGTACACACATGAAATATGTTCTGGTGACTCAAGTGTAGGGCCAAACCATTACACCCTACCTACATCCATCCCCCTCTCATTAATTATACAGGAAAGATGTAAAGCTCGATTTACACACATTTCCTCATGCATGTTGTGCTAAGCAAACGCTTATGCAGCGTCCAATTGTCACAACAAAAATACAGGGCCTTTTGATTTCTGAAGATCTTGATCTTTCTTGTGCCCTTGACCTCAATTTCTTTCCGTATGTGTCGTATTTCCTTTTTATATCCTGAAAGATTTTCCCCCCTTTACCTACACATACAGACGTGATTTAGTGACTGTCACTCTTTGACCCCAGCACTTTTAACCTCTATCTGACCTTGACCTCTCCGTGTCTCGTTTGCTCTTCAATTCAGACCAGGAAATCTGTTGTTGTCCTTGTTTTTTCTTCTCTATCATTTTCTACACAGAGGCATCTTGATGCATGTAGGAATATCTCTTGGATATCGAAAATGTCTTTAATATCACCAACTCAGACCTCTCCTTTCTTACCTGAATGTGGCTCCCATTTTCTACCAGTAATCAGCAATTACTTATTCATACGAATTAAGTATGTTACGATGCAGTATACCATTAAATTTTGAATTATATAACCCTACTAACGTAGAGTTTCAAAAATAAGTCTATAGACTCATTTATGTTCCTCTCCACGGAAATCTTTAGTAAAAGGCGAAAGATTTAATCGTGGATTGAAGAGAGACCAGAGTAATTAACCTCATGTAACTTCCAAATTGTTATGTATTTCTCAAATATATTTCATCTCGTTTTTAAACATTACAATTTCACAGATCTAAAATGACAGTTTTGAATAGCAGCTTATAAATGCTTGCATTTTTACACAAGCAGTAGATCCTAACTACAGAAATGAACATTCTTGTTAACTTTAAGTCATGTTCGATTTGATGAAGCCGAAAATGTGTTAATTCTACAATTTATAATACAGGTATATCTTGTGTAAGGGAAATAACTTCAGAATTCTAATGATTATTTTCAACAAATTTTCAGTCATCTGTGAATGTACACACATGAAATATGTTCTGATGACTCAAGTGTAGGGCCAAACCATTAGACCCTACCCAACACCCATCCCCCTCTCATTAATTACAGGAAGATGTAAATATTGATTTACACGCATTTTCTCATGCATGTGGTGCTTGGCAACCGCTTATGCAGCGTCCAATTGTCACAACAAAAATACAAGGCTTTGATTTCTGAAGATCTTGATCTTTCTTGTGCCCTTGACCTCAATTTCTTTCCGTTTGTGTCGTATTTCCTTTTTATATCCTGATAGATTTTCCCCCTTTACCTACACACACAGACGCGATTTAGTGACTGTCACTCTTTGACCCCAGCACTTTTAACCTCTATCTGACCTTGACCTCTCCGTGTCTCATTTGCTCTTCAATTCAGACCAGGAAGAGTCTGTTGTTGTCCTTGTTTTTTCTTCTCTATCATTTGCTACACAGAGGCATCTTGATGCATGTAGGAATATCTCTTGGATATCGAAAATGTCTTTAATATCACCAACTCAGACCTCTCCTTTCTTACCTGAATGTGGCTCCCATTTTCTACCAGTAATCAGCAATTACTTTTTCATACGAATTAAGTATGTTACGATGCAGTATACCATTAAATTTTGAATTATATAACCCTACTAACGTAGAGTTTCAAAAATAAGTCTATAGACTCATTTATGTTCCTCTCCACGGAAATCTTTAGTAAAAGGCGAAAGATTTAATCGTGGATTGAAGAGAAACCAGAGTAATTAACGTCATGTAACTTCCAAATTGTTATGTATTTCTCAAATATATTTCATCTCGTTTTTAAACATTACAATTTCACAGATCTAAAATGACAGTTTTGAATAGCAGCTTACAAGTGCTTGCATTTTTACACAAGCAGTAGATGCTAACTACAGAAATGAAAATTCTTGTTAACTTTAAGTCCTGTTCAATTTGATGAAGCCGAAAATGTGTTATTTCTACCATTTATAATACAGGTATCTTGTCTAAGGGAAATAACTTCGGAATTCAAATGATTCTTTTCAACAAATTTTTAGTCAGTAACGCATATCATCTGTGAATGTACACACATGAAATATGTTCTGGTGACTCAAGTGTAGAGCCAAACCATTACACCCTACCTACATCCATCCCCCTCTCATTAATTATACAGGAAAGATGTAAAGCTCGATTTACACACATTTTCTCATGCATGTTGTGCTAAGCAAACGCTTATGCAGCGTCCAATTGTCACAACAAAAATACAGGGCCTTTTGATTTCTGAAGATCTTGATCTTTCTTGTGCCCTTGACCTCAATTTCTTTCCGTTTGTGTCGTATTTCCTTTTTATATCCTGAAAGATCCCCCCCCCTTACCTACACATACAGACGTCATTTAGTGACTGTCACTCTTTGACCCCAGCACTTTTAACCTCTATCTGACCTTGACCTCTCCGTGTCTCATTTGCTCTTCAATTCAGACCAGGAAGAGTCTGTTGTTGTCCTTGTTTTTTCTTCTCTATCATTTGCTACACAGAGGCATCTTGATGCATGTAGGAATATCTCTTGGATATCGAAAATGTCTTTAATATCACCAACTCAGACCTCTCCTTTCTTACCTGAATGTGGCTCCCATTTTCTACCAGTAATCAGCAATTACTTATTCATACGAATTAAGTATGTTACGATGCAGTATACCATTAAATTTTGAATTATATAACCCTACTAACGTAGAGTTTCAAAAATAAGTCTATAGACTCATTTATGTTCCTCTCCACGGAAATCTTTAGTAAAAGGCGAAAGATTTAATCGTGGATTGAAGAGAAACCAGAGTAACTAACCTCATGTAACTTCCAAATTGTTATGTATTTCTCAAATATATTTCATCTCGTTTTTAAACATTACAATTTCACAGATCTAAAATGACAGTTTTGAATAGCAGCTTATAAGTGCTTGCATTTTTACACAAGCAGTAGATCCTAACTACAGAAATGAACATTCTTGTTAACTTTAAGTCATGTTCGATTTGATGAAGCCGAAAATGTGTTAATTCTACAATTTATAATACAGGTATATCTTGTGTAAGGGAAATAACTTCAGAATTCTAATGATTATTTTCAACAAATTTTCAGTCATCTGTGAATGTACACACATGAAATATGTTCTGATGACTCAAGTGTAGGGCCAAACCATTACACCCTACCCAACACCCATCCCCCTCTCATTAATTACAGGAAGATGTAAATATTGATTTACACGCATTTTCTCATGCATGTGGTGCTTGGCAACCGCTTATGCAGCGTCCAAATGTCACAACAAATAAAAAAAAATGCAGGGATTTTTGATTTTTGAAGATCTTGATCTTTCTTGTGACCTTGACCTCAATTTCTTTCCGTTTGTGTCGTATTTCCTTTTTATATCCTGATAGATTTTCCCCCTTTACCTACACACACAGACGTGATTTAGTGACTGTCACTCTTTGACCTTAGCACTTTTAACCTCTCTCTGACCTTGATCTCTCCATGTCTCATTTGCCCTTCAATTCAGACCACGAAGCGTCTGTTGTTATTGTTGTTCGTATGTTTTCTTCTCTATCATTTCTTCCAAGGAGGCATCTTGATACATGTAGGAATATCTCTTGGATATCAAAAAAGTCTTACCACCAACTTAGACCTCTCCTTTCTTACGTGAATATGGCTCCCATTTTCTATCATAGTAATCAAAGATTACCTCATTATACGAATCAAGTATGTAACGATACAGTCTACCATTTAATTTTGAATTATATAACCCTACTAACGTAGGGCTTCAAAAATAAGTCTATAGACTCATTTATGTTCCTCTCCACGGAAATCTTTAGTAAAAGGCGAAAGATTTAATCGTGGATTGAAGAGTAATCAGAGTAACTATTCTCAAGTAACTGCCAATTTTTTATGTATTTCTCAAATATATTTCATCTCGTTTTTTAGTATTACAATTTCACAGATTTAACATGACAGTTTTAAACAGCAGCTTACAAGTGTTTGCATTTTTACAAAAGCAGTAGATGCTAACCACAGAAATGAAAATTCTTGTTAACTTTAAGTCATGTTCAATTTGATGAAGCCGAAAATGTGTTAATTCTACAATTCATAATACAGGTATCTTGTCTAAGGGAAATAACTTCAGAATTCTAAAGATTCTCTTCAACAAATTTTCAGTCAGTAACCCTTATCATCTGTGAATGTACACACATGAAATATGCTCTGGTGACTCAAGTGTAGGGCCAAACCATTACACCCCACCCAACACCCATCCCCTCTCCTCAATTACAGGAAGATATGAAGCTCAATTAATGGACTTTTCTCAAGCTTGAGATGCTTAGCAAACGCTTATGCAGCGTCCAATTGTCACAACAAATAAAAAAAAATGCAGGGATTTTTGATTTTTGAAGATCTTGATCTTTCTTGTGACCTTGACCTCAATTCAAATAAAAATCAGATCATTCTTTGATTCATTTCCATCTTTAATGAAGCAATAAAGCATGCGACACATGCGTTCCTTGAAACATTCCTAATTTTTTTTTATATATAGGAGGCATCTAACGAACTCATTTCCAACTTAGCTTTGGGGTGAACCTATAAAACTGCTACTCACGCTAATCACCGATATTCCCCTAATAGTGAATCGAGGCAATTGATGTAGAGGCTTTGAGAGCCGGACATGGTGGATCCAAAAGAAAATAAACCTTTTTCAAAGATTTTCTTTGGGTGTTCGTAAGGCATTCATCCCTTTACTGTGATCCATTAATTTGTTGCAATGAATTCATTAATGTAATGTAATGTTAGGCCATTATTTATATACTGAATTGTCGACGGATTTTTCCGTTATTTCCCGATCATAACAAGGAGCACACGGCGGGTCCCACCTGTGATGTCCTAGAGGTCCGCGTTTGCCCTGCTCCTATTTTGTAATGTTTAATGGACTTTTGAGCTCGAATACTGTTCGTTATCTCTACATATTTCATTCTTTTCTTTATTGAATGTGGAACTTATTTCAACTTTATTCAGAATTAATTAATCATGAAAGATGCCGATTTTTTTTTTTAGCTAAGTCCAGAAAATTTCTGAATCTAAGCAGAATCCATAGTCTGAAAGTTCTGCTAAGACACCGCAAGTAACCCTCTACTCTACAAAACATGGCCTTTTTACATTCTTCCTACTACGCATTTAAAGGCATAATTTCCCATTAGTATATACATGTATACTATTCATTTTTTCCAAATTATCTCTCCATTCCATCCATGCCCTGAAATCAACCCATGCATTCCACCTCGTATACATCTCCAGAATTTTTGAAGAAAAAATCTATTAATTTGTAAACTGGCACTACTTGCATGGTCAATGAAATATGGCAAAATTATAGTAACCTGTGACTTTCTTTTGCTTTCTAATATCAAATTAAGGATACGATGTTCTTATTTATTCGTTTATTTTATAATATATATTTTATTTTATATTCATTTTTATTGTAGTGCAAGTGGATATTGAAAAACACAGCATCCCCTTTTTTGAAGGTTGAAAGGCCTCTAATTGTTCTCTGAAGAATGACGTTAAAGTTTATATTTAATTTAAATCTGTACGAATTTAGGATCCTTTCCTCAATGCTCTTAACATTATTTGCCTCGCACCACTCTCTTGGGTAATAGCAAGAGCACTTTGATTGCGTTCAGCCTAAGTCTACACCGGAGAAAATCCACAGAATTTGTATAAATATGAAGGACATTTTAAAACAAGGGAAAATTTACCGATTTAAAATTTTTGTTAGTTTGGCCGAAACTTAAACCATGATTCAACACATTCAAGTTGCCATTTAAGATATTTATCACATGGTCTTCGATTTCTTTATAATAAAAATGTTCTGCCACATATAGTACTTCTGATGTCTAAATACTTTCTCAATAAATGAAATTGATTTAATGTTTGCCAATCATTATTAAACAAAAAAAAAAAAAACAAAAACAAAACTAAACAAAAAAAACTTGCGTATATAAATGTCATTTTGGAAGCAGACAACTCATGCAGATATTGCATTCGAGTATAGAAACTATAATTCGCCGATACAGTATTCAGACTTAAAAAATCATTTACTGATGGTTGAAGCAATTTACAGCTCCAACACATTTTCACCTTTCAATGAACAAACTTTCAAAAGGCATCAGTATATAGGAGGGGCGCGTTGACTGCGATCTTAATCCCCCCCCCCTCCTTTTTTAAATCTCAAAAATATTTTTGGAAACAAAATAAGTTAAATCTTCCATAGTTTTAAGTAATGCTGCCAGGTTTTGTTTACTTTATATTCGAAATAAAGCGACCAGGAATGCTTCAGAACCTACCAAAATGGTAACTTTAAAAAAAAAATTCTAGCTTAGGGGAGAGAGTGCCCCCATTTTCAGGAACCTGATGACGGCCCGGTTTCAGCTACATGGCCGCTTTTAATCGTGTGCAAAGTCGAATTTACAGAGAGGAAAAAAAAATCATCAATACTAACTTCTAGACGTGATAATTAGGCAAAAAAAATAAGTACTAGCTTGTCTTTTCACCATAACGATTAGACTAGATTCAACTTGCACTTTCCACAACATTGATAAAGAGAATAGCAAGAAGTTTCTTTTCTTTAATTTCGTGCGAAATGATTTTGAATTTAACTTTCCAGTTGACAATGAAAAGCCAAATACATCCAAAAAACACAATCCTTATATTCTTATCACATGTTATCTACATAAAATACACAACAGAATACTATAAAATATAATAGTCAAAAAGTTCACGGTACAAACCGTTACCATCCGTAACCAGCCACTTCCGGTCCATGTTTCCGGTAGATTTGTCCATGCTCCTCTTCTTCAGAATTACGTTACCTGATCATGATTATTCTGATGTAATAGACATGTACAGACACTTTAAATCCATAATTTATAGAATATTAATAAACCTGGATCCAATTCAGTTAATATAGCAGTCCAGTCACGCTCTCAGAGATTGAAAGCTTTTCTTATTTTCTTTTCTCTCCTTACTTTGTGCATTAATATATTCCATCATTTGTCTGAATATTCTAGAACTACAGTTTTGAAGATACTGCAATTGGTAATTGGGAAAAAGCAAACTTAACAAAATTCTACAAAGCCATGGTTAGAATTTGTCTTTTTATTTTTTGTGGTTTGTAAATAACCACTATGTTTAGCACACATCATTCAGACACTTCCTTACATTACATGCTAAACCTTCCTCTCCCACTTTCATAAAAACATTCAACATGGTAAAAAAAAAATTCTCCACATCATATAAAAATTTTGTGAACAAGATAAAAATGAGGATATTTACATGTGGAAAAACTCAACAATAGATTGTGGAATAATTCAATACAAACATTGTATAGTTTGGTACTCTTCTCAGAAATTAATGACATCTTAAATTAATACATTAGGAACTTAAGAATATATACATATATTCAAAATACATGTATGATCAGGGAAAACTTTTCAAAAAATGTGGACAAAATTCTTAAATACTTGACTGTACATTCAAAATAGAATCTTCATAATTATCAATCTGCATATTTTAAGTTTTCTTTTTAAGTCAGCTATAGATCAAAATATATTTTAAACACAAAACATCTTACTATTAATTAAACAGACTTCACAGAATAATTATATGTATTAATGAACTGCAATTGAACACTAGTATCCAGAATTCACACAATCACAAAGGAGATCAGATGTAACATGTCTCGCACTTGCTGCATAATGAACCAAACAAAACTCAGAGACACCTAATTAACACTGACATCACTCAATCTCCCCCTCCTCCAGATCCCCCGCCACCTTTTCCTTTTTTTCTGTCACTGAGTCTGATTCAGGGGCTGAGGTCAATTCCTCACCATTTGGAACACTTTTACTTGTCACTTCTGGTCCGTTTATTTTCACACTTTTAGAGGCAGGTTCCACAGGTGCTACAGGTTCAACAGCTGCTACAGGTTCAACAGATGCTACAGGTTCAACAGGTGCTACAGGTTCTGGTTCACTGCTTTGCCCTGCACTATCTGTTTCCTTGGGGGGAGGAGGAACAGCAGCAGGAGGTAGACCTATCTCCTCTGCCGGACCTTTGTCAGTATTTTCACTCTTGCCTCCAGGTGGAGGGATAACCACATTCTTCATCATCTCCTCCAGAGCACTTCCCCACCCCAGGGCTTCCTTTCTACTGTTTGATCTCTCCTCCTCAGTCCTTTGGTGCCATTCTCCTCGATCCTCTCTGTCACGGTCTCGGCCTCGATCCCTGAATCCATCATCTCTACTTCTATAACCATCATCTCTATCTCTGTAACTGTCACCTCTATCTCTATTCCTCCTATCTCGGTCTCTATCATAGTCTCTATCTCTGCCACCTCTATCATCACGATTTCTGTCTCGACGATCAAAATCTCGACGTCCTCCTCGGCCACCAAAATCTCGTCCCCTGCCTCGACCTCTTCCTCCCCTCCAGTCGTCCCTTCTGTAGTCTCTATAGTCACCGCCATCTCGATCATCATCCCTGTCATCTCTCCAACGATCTCCAGAATTCCTGCGTTTATGATCACTATCTTGGTCATCAATAGGTTTGTCCATTTCATTTCCTTCTTCACCTCCTGGACCTTCAAATGGGGGCCTCATCATATCCCCTGGAGGTCCCCTAAATCCAGGCCTCATGAACTGTCCAGGAAATCTTTGGAATGGTCTATTTCCTCTGAACCCTGGTGGACCACCTGGACCTCCAAATCCACCCCTCTGTGGCCCTCCCATCATGTTGGGGGAATTAAATCTATTCTGTCCTTCTGGAGGGCCTCGAGGCCCCATGTTTGGCCCTCCTGCGTCCATAAGTGGTCGGGGTCCCCTCATTCCACCAGGGGGACCCATTCCTCCCCCCATTGGTGGTCTCATCTGCCCAATCATTCCAATTCCTGGTCCCACTGGGGGACCACCCTGACTGCTAAAAGGATCAGGGGGAGTAGCATCGCTAAATCTTGATTTCTTTCCAGGTTTCGTTTCGGGCTCTTCTAAATCCATACTTTCACCTGCATTAAAGTCAGACTTCTGCTGCCAATCTTGTCCTAGCATGGGGGGTTTATCTTTGGGTTCCTGACCTGCATCAAATGGGGGTCGGTTTGACCCTGGCATTGCAGGCTTCATTGGATCAAAGTTTGGCTGAGGAGGTCTTAGAAATCCCTGAGGCGGCAAAGGAAACCTTTGAAATGTAGCTGCTGGAGGTAATCCTGGACGTTGTACAGCAAGCATTGGCTGGGTTCCCATGGTAGGCATATTCTGTGTAAATGGTATACCAGTGGTAACTACTGATGCAGGCTGTCGCACCTACAATGTTGTACATAAAGATGTTCAATATTTCAAAAAGAGAGGAAAAATACATGTACAATGTCTATGCATTTTCAATCATAAAATATTTTCAACTGTTGTTCATTATTTTATTACACTTGTCTGGAAGCTTATGCAGTTTGCAATTAAAACTCAATTGGTATTGGTAATTCTTATACAATAACTCTATATTTGTTCAGTGTTATACTAACAACTTGGGGCATTCCTCCAGGCGGCATTCCAGCAGGAAGAGGAATCATTCCAGCTTGACCTGGGAGTGGGGGAATTCCTGTGCTCACTGACATAGGGGCTGATGGGACAGCAGGGGGCATTCCAGAGATCTGGGGTGGTGGCATACCTCCCTGCATAACCATTTGTGGCATCATATTCATCCTCGGCAGCATTCCCTGTGGCATAACTCCTGTAAGATCAGAGGAAATTTTAGGTTCAGTGTCTTTATAAGCTGCATACAATAAAAGAACAAAGCTAAGCAATTCCCAGAATTTGCATATTTATCTAAAAAAAAAATAATCAATGGTTTTCTTTTTTTAAACAAAATAACACAAACTGTTAAGTTTTTATTATGAACACCAAAACAACTTATTTCTTGTATGAATATGAAATTCCATTGATGTCCCTTTTCCATTTTCTCCAAAATTAATTCCTTTTCTTATTTATTTAATATATTTTCCCTTTCATCAAACAGGAAATATCATTAAGTGTAGAATTATCTTTTTATCCTTACCTGCAGAAGGCATAGGGGGTGGCATGGTTCCTGGTGGTGGTCCTCCTGGGGGCATGTTGACAGGCTGTAGGGGTGGGGCCTGGGTGGGGGGCATCTGGCTGTTCATCAGTGGTTGTTGCTGCTGTGGGGGCTCCTCCACTGCATCAGGCTTCTCCCTTCCTAAGGTCATTCCTGTAATCACATTATCATCAGTCAAATAAATTGAATAACCTTGTAAACAAAAACAAAAAAAATAAGATAGTACGGCCAAATTGCAAAGTATCCATAATTACATAACATACCCTTCAGATTCTCTGGCAGAGAATCCTCATCAATGATTCCTCCCTCAATCAGACCAGACAGATCCTCCGGAAGGTCACTCCAGGGAATGTAGGTAGCCCCCACCTCCACATCCCATTTATCCTTGAACATTGATTCCTTCACCCCTATCCCCGGTGCCCAGGCAACCTAGCAAAGATACAAACATTAATCACAAAAAATCACAAAAAAATAAATCATCAATCAATACTGTATCTCAGACTCAGTCTAAAACAACCTACCCTTAATTCACTCCCATTCAATAGCAGTCCTTTCATTCTATCCACCGCTTTTGATGCTTCCTTGCGGCGAGTCATACAAACAAATGCACACCCTCTTGGTGGAATCATCTAGATGAAAAAGAATTGATATTAAATTAGATGCACATACATGTACTATACTTTTACATGTCATTTCAGAAAAGCTTCCAGAGTAAACATTTATCATGTCCACAGTTTTGCTGGTGCTAGTCTTTTTCTGTAATAATCTCTCTGTATAATTCTTGTCATAAATATCTAATTGGATACTTTTCTTAAATATTTAATGTCTAGGGATGGATTCAAAAAACAGAATTGTCAATCAGATAATCATAAGATGTTTAGACCACTGAACCATTTAATCATATCACAATGCTCTATTAGACTTTTTTTCAAGTGAGCTCTATTCATATACACAAGAAGACAAAAAAGATGCTATATATTCCGTTCATGATTAATCAGAAAAATTGAAATATTTTATTTCAATTTCAATAGACAAGAAAAAAAATACTAAACTATAAAGCATGTCTAAGAAATCGGAGACATTAATAATTTTCAAACCAATGACAAATAGTTTATGTCACTCAAGTTTATTCTACATTGTCAACATGATCGGAACTAAATCTGAACATCATACAATGTTTGTTTAATATTAATATGATTTGATATGCAACTGCAAAGGATGGACAGGGTGGTGTACACATAATAATTTTATTTGTATACACTAACAAATGATGATTTAATTAAAACCATTTACAAAATGCCGGGTAATGAGTAATGACATGGAATTTAAAAACTCATGAACTGATCAATTACATGATCCAAGAGCCTAAATGCCTCTAAATTTAGATATGTGAAAGTGCAAAGTTTTCAACATTCAGAGTTGTCCCCCCCCCCCCAAATTGAATTTTAATGCTTTGCTTTTACATATATTTAATTTTTTCAACAAGCCAATTACAGATTTTCCAACTATTTACCACTGTTTTGGCCAATTAACCGGTTACAAACTGCCATCCCTATAAAATATCTTATCAGAAACTTACATTTATAGAATCCACACTCCCAAATTTTTCAAGTTCTGTCCGTAGTTCATCCTCTGATGTTGTCTTGGATATCTTTCCAATAAATAAAGTTGTTGAGCAAACTGCAAAATCAATTGATGGTGTGATTATTTCATGAACTATTATTCCAATCATTATTAATTATATGTAATAAAGATGACTGAAGAATCAGACATACTCGACAAACACTGATCCTTCATTTGTGGTAGGCCTTTCTTTCTTCTCTCCCTTTCTTTTTCTCGTTGCCTGTCTCTTTCTCTATCTCTGGATCTATTTAGAAAAGAACATCTTTATCATCCACATTTTATATCAATATCATGAATTCTTTTCAATTTAAAAAAAAAACATGCTTGTAAAATATTTGGATAAGTATATACCTGGATCTCCTATGTCTTTCTCTTGACCTTGACCTCCTTCTGCGATCTCTTGACCTTGACCTGGATCTTCTTCTTTTCTTTGGCGTCCTACAGTAAAATTGAATTTAATTGATCAAAGTTTACTGAATTACCATAAATATTAGTTCAAACATGTTTTTCTGGATTAATTACCAATATAGTATTATATTGACCTTGACCTAGATCTTTCATGTCTTGACCTCCTGTGTCTCCTGTCCTCCCTGTCTCTGTCCCTGCGATCCCTCTGATCCTCCTCCTCTTCTGGTGGGGGACCAGGAGGGAGATGGGGCCTTTCATCAATGTCCTGTGGGGGAAAGATTTGCTGAGGTTGTTCAGCAGGCACAATATGACCATACCCTTGGGGCATCTGATGTCCCATTTGATGATGTAGAGGATCATGTTGCATGTGCATTTGAGGAGGCATACCTCCCATCTGCAATGAGATAATGTTGAGTTCAATAATATTTAGATGGAAAAGCAAACTAGAACTTTTTATTACAATTCATTACAGAACAAATATGTTCATAAAGTTCAGTATATTTATTGCACTAATCATTATTATTATTAAAATGGTACTTTATACAGATATGCATGGGTGGCAACTTCTATCATTAATCAAGAGTTATCACTGTTGGAGAATTGAAACATACATGTCCAATTTGCTGATCAAACTCTGCTTGTTGCTGCTGAAGTATTTTCTGCCTGTTCAGTTCCTCGTTTTTCTGGATTGTCTGGGACAGTTGCTGGATTTGCTGCATCATGTGTGTCTCATTCAGCATATTGTGTGAAGGTTGGCTGGAAGCATAAAATGAAATTAAAATGCGTTCTGTCCTGGCTAAAGGGTCAATTTTTTACCATTCATTTTAAACAAGTTTTGCCTTTTAAAAAATGTGTTCTATAAATTGAAAACTCACTACAGTTGACAATTGCAAGTTACTCCAAACCTTTTCCTTTTTTTACAGTGATTTTTTTTGGGTCAAAATGCCACCGATATTCGGCTGTTTCCCCTCACAAAAAATAGCTATTTTTTCCCAATTAGTAGTATATTTTTCCCAATTTCAAACGAACAGAAATTATATTTAAATTTAGAACAAAAGTCGCTAAATTTGCTGACAGAGTAAATACGTTTTTATTCCTTAATTTTAATCTCCATATCCATGCATTATAATGCAGCCGATTTTTTTAATGAATGTGCAAAACAATGCAGATATTTATAGAAGCAGATAAGTAGCATATAATATCCTAAATGAATTGGTAAATAGTTCCCAGATACAAGTCATGTTGCATATTGACATTGACCGCCATTATTACATAGAGGGTCAGGCTAATAACAGGAAATGGACAAAACATAGGGTTTCGCTAAAATCAGGAAAAAACAAACAGTGAAGACTGAAAACTTGATTATCAATATAAGACAGTTTACTAGATTACGAGTCTAAATGCTGGTTTGGTTTTTTTAAAATGAAATTATATAAAGCAATTCCAAGAAAATAGAAGCTACAAGGTGTGACTAATATAAACCATGTTCACATTCAATAAAATATTGATGTTAATTTTTTTAATGATTATTTTAATATGAATTTAAATCAAATTCAAAGTTAAAATCAAACAAAAACTGTTGTTACTTAGTTTGATTATTTTATGTATTTTTTAGCATTCTAATTTACTATAAATGATTTTTCCCAATTTGAGGAAAATGTCGCTAATTTTTCCCAATTCAAAAGGAGGGGGTGGTGGTTCAAAAAACAAAAAAAATCACTGTTTTAAGTTGAAAAAATTTTTATGACCTACCTGTGTTGACCTGCATCTTCTTCATCGCTCTCTCCATAATCAAAGTCCAAAAGTTTCTATACAGAGAATAAAGATTGATGAGTCAATTACAAGTTTGGGGTTTTTTTTTAGTCAGTGCAATTTTTTTTCAAGAGCTAATAATGAGTGACTCTTACGGGAAACCTTCAAGGCATGGCTGAACACAATATTTACTTTATAGTTGGGAAGTTAACATCTATAACAACTTGACAAGCATGAACTAAATTTAACTCGGGAGTACACTGAACTTTAACTTTTTGCTATATTCTTTACCCTGTTGAACCCTGGTTCTGGGGGTTTATCTCCAGACTTGAGAAGCTGGTTGGTGAGGGTCTGGATATGAGACAGTAGGTTGCTATCTATAACAGGAGTCCCCTGACTGGGTTGCTGCATCAGCTGAGTGTGTTGTATCAACTGCTGCTGTAAGAGTTGCAGCTGCTGCAACTGTTGTTGCTGGGCAGAAAGGCTTGTTGAACCCTGTGAATAAAATTTAAAAGTTGAAAAAGATAGCAAGACTAAATGTATGGTCTGATTTTTACTGAAAAATAGAGTCCATAAAGTGATTTTGCCCCCCCCCCCCCCCTCTTAAAAAAAAAAGACTGGATGAGGGAGAAATTGACATTTTTGAAATTGAATTGCTGTGATTTACAAAACAAAATGCTTCACCTGTGATGTCTGTTGTAGTAGCTGGGTGACAGTGTTTAACATTTCTGTCTGAGCTGCCAATGAATTCTCAGGATTCTCCTCCACCTCCTCGGGAGGAAGTGAGGTATTCATTGATGTGTCCTGCCCTCCCTCTGCATGATGAGGCTTTGCTCCTGTGGCCATCACATTGTCTACTGCTCTCTGGGCTACAAAACAAATTACTTATGAACACAATTTATCATCAAATCTACATTGCAATTTCTAATTTTAAAGCTTGAAATTTGTACAGGACAAACTTTTTATTTTCAGGGGTAGCAATTTTTACTTAAATCTTAATTTGCATAATAACAAACAAGACACCTACCAGCTACAGCAAACTGCTGGTTGTTTGGATCTGCTGCCATATCAAGTAAAGGCTGGATGACTTCACTCATGAACACACCATTCTTCTGCCAGAGATTGAGGACTCTCACAACTTTACTCTATGTTAAATAAAGAATTACTTCATAATAAAACTGAGTAAAAAAGATTCATGACAAAGCTCTTCTTCTCCCAAGAAGTGGGAAAACCTTCAATTTTTGTGAAAAATAAAAAAAAAGTCAGTTCATCATTTAACATTTTAGCTTTCGGCTGATTATTTTTTATAATATAAAATCATTTGATATAATTACCCGTTCCTCTGGTGGACATTTAAACAGATTCTGAAAAGTTGCCACAATATTTTTGGTAAACCTTGGAGCAAATACATCTTTTTCTTGGCCAAACTGATGTCTTGACTGTCTAACAATTGAATCAATCACATACAGCCCTGGTACTTTGTATTCTGGTTTACACTGAAATGAACATATAACAATGAAACCAAGACTCTTTCTACTGCATGCTGTTTACAATGCACTTTCACTTTGATTTACAAAACATAATTGTGTTCATACCAAATTAAATTGCACATTGAAATACCTTAAGTATAAATTTTTCGACACTCTGCACCACATGCTTGTAGAATTTAATGGCTTTTATTGCACATTTGGTAACATTGGCCATCTTTGCTCGAGATATTGGTGGCCTCGTCTCGTACAATGAGGACAACTGCAAAATATAAATGACATTTAAATGACATGAAATATATACATGACAATAATATCGAAGCTTTTAAAAGTTTATTATTTTATTGTTCCAAAATTACCACTTGCCTTTTGATTGAAATTAAGAAGTAAAAACTGCATCGTGCCCTTTTCATCGATTACATAGATTGAGCAAGACTCCGTAAAAAGGCAATTTATCATACAAAAAGGAGTATTTACTTTTATAAAATATGCAGAAAAAAGGTGTATGGATGAAGAGTAAACAAGGTTTTTAACTTAAGAGCCAAGGTTCACGTCTACCGGCGTGCTACTCAAGAAGAACGGCAACTCAATAATCGAAAAGTAAATTATTAGTTGAAAACTCTACATGTAAACAAACCTCATTGTTGAACGCTCTTACGGCCTCCATAATTATTGGAAATAGTTTCTGCTTTGGTTAAAGATCTGAAAACATTTTTGCAAGCAACTAGCAAAGGTGTTTTGTCACACCAAAGTGTGGCGTGCTATTTCCAAGATGGCGGTAAATCGCTGATGATTTCATGGAATGAATATCACGCGATGAATGATTGGTTGTTGTCATTCCCATGGTCCAATGAAAAGATACGTTCTTCGGGATTCGGGAGAGACTTTCACAGCATGTTAACTTCCGGTTGGTAGTAAAAATTTTCTGTTCATGCAAAGATTGATTAAATTTATCTTTAGAGCAGAAAACATCACGTTGTCTGCACAATTTTACAGAAATTGAAATGAGCACACTGGTTTGTCTCAGGCGTAATGCACAATTAGCTAACCGTAACGCGAGGAAGAGTGAAACCCTTTTGCTCTACAGGTCATGTGCTTTGTTTCAATATAAATGCACACACTTAAACGATGCTAATTTCCCCAGACATACATACATTTTCAGAAGGTTAAAGAAATTAAACTTGAGAAATTAAACTTGAGAATACAATGTGCATTTTTGGCATCCATTTTATTATTTTAAAAAATTCACAAAGAAAATGAAGGTCATCTAGCTGTACATGTTATAATTAATTCAAGTATAAAGGAAGAACTGTTTTAGTAGTTGATAAGTTATTTCTACTGTGGGTTCAAGGATAAAGTTAAAAAAAAAAAGGATTTTTATAAAAGACAAGGCTCATTAATGCTCACACTGACCCTGACCCATTAGAGACAGCCTAGTCTGAAATATCTGACGTTTTCCTGGCTTTTTTACTATTTTTATATTTTACGTGCCAGGAAAATGTCAGAACTGGCGCCATTACGAAAACTGGAAATTTCGCTGTCTCCAATCAGAGTTGATTTTCGATACCTCGGAACCGAATTAAATTCCGTATTCACAACTTATCAATAGCATAATGCTTTTAGTACTCACCAATATCGATGAAAAGAAAACATCACTCATTTCGATACAGGACTTGAAAGATTTTAAAATGCACGAAATGAAAACGAATTTCGACAGTAAGATAAAATGTTTTCATCGGATTGTATATTTTATAAATAAACCATAAAAACGATGTTGGTGAGTACTAAAAGCATTGTACTATTGATAAATTGTGAGTTTGACATTTCATTCGCTTTGCAAGTATCGAAAATCAACCTGAGAATGCCGCCTCTGGGTGGAGGCGGCGAATTCCCAGTTTTCGTAATGGCACCGGTTCTGACGTTTTCCAGGCACGTTAAATATCAAAATCGTGAAAAAAGCCTGGAAAACATCAGATATTTCAGACTAGAGACAGCCCTGAATTGAGGTCATGCCACGTACGTTATGTACTTTTAAAATTGTTCCACTTCATGTGGAGTATATTTTCATTTTAAGGTATATTTAACTACATTACTTGGTTGAAAAAAAACTCTGACAAAGTAACTTTCAAATAATCCTTTTGTTTTATACATAAAAAAGTAATAAAACAAAAGGAATTAGCAGGGAATTAGAATTTTAATTATTATATTACATGAATTTATTCAATTAAAACCAAAAATTCCTAATGCCGAATGTTTCTTACCTTCAGAAAGATGAAGGAGACAGAAAACAACAACACATCTGTATATAGCATTAATGCACTTTAGATAATAATTTTAATATTAAATTGATTGGTTTAGCCAAAGTAACTGCATGGTCAATAGAACACATTTTGAATATTCCATGACAGATGTAATTTTTTTCTTTATTTCTTTTAAGGTGTAGGATAGGGCACATCCATTAATTCAGCTCTTGCACACACTGTGACATTGATTGGCCCCCTGGACTATCAGAGGTATTTAATATAGCTGCACTTGACACACCTGTTTTAGTTTATAATTATTGACCATTCTAACATACAACTTAACAGTGGAGTAACGTTTTATATGGGATTTAGTGTTCTGTCTCTAAATAGACTTTGTAACCATGTTTTAGTTGTTATCTATTTTTAATCCATATACATGTTTCATTTAAAACATTTTAGATTTATTAGTATAAATTTAAACTGTTAAATGACACTAAAATAGTAATTTGTCAAATCAAGTCCTTGAAATATTAAGCCATACTGTGAATGTATTATTTTACACTTGCAAATAGAAGATTTGAAAGCATGCAAAATTCAATGATTATTAAGAGTGTACAAACTGAAGTCATGACATGCAACAAATAACATCCTATTTTCTTTTTAGGTTTTAAAGGAAAGGCAACATTATCAAATCATGCTGGGCACATAGTGAGAGATATGAAAGTTTTGGGGCAAAGGTTATCGATCTTCAAATTTTCCTTGCTTGTATTTGTCCTCTTCATTGTCACTTCTTTCCTCTTTATATACTACCTGGATTCACTTTGGAGACAAACTAAAATTCATTTTAAGGAAAATGCTGAAAATTCCATCCCAGAGAAAAATCAGATTGAGCAGAAGAAGCAGATTATTGTAAATCAGATTCCCCCATTTCTTAAGGTAAAGCAACAAATGTTTGAAATGGCACTGGACAATGCCCAAAAAGAGGAAGAAGTCCGGAACAATTTAATGTCCCCCCAAACTACCTCTAAACCTCACCCTCATATCAACTACAACATTCACATCTTCTATTACCCATGGTATGGAAATCCTGAACATGATGGAAAGTATTATCATTGGAACCACCCTTATCTCCCCCACTGGGAGAAGGCAGAGGCAGCTAAATGGCCGTCAGGGAAACATGTGCCCCCCGATGACATTGGAGCTAACTACTATCCCCAGCTGGGCCCCTACAGCTCTAGTGATCCAACAGTTGTTGAAGACCACATGAAACAGATTCAGCTGTCTGGAGCAGGTCAGTTTAGCAATTTTTCGTTTACACTTTGCCGTAATGTGAAGAGTATTGAATTTGTTTGCTTAAAATACATGCAATACCTATAATGAAAGACATGAAAATTGAGATACATTTACATGTGTATATAGTTAATATTATAAATTAAGAGTTAATTATAATGATCAACGTGAGAGTTCCAATTTTGTAAATTAGATGTTTGAGGCACTGGGCCCTTTTCTTAACAGTGAAATAAAAAATCATAACTCTTAGAAAAACTCTTAGCAAAACTCTTAGACATGGATTTTGAAATTTAAAGTCAAGAATGTGTTGCTTTTATGTAGGAGTATTGGCCGTATCCTGGTATCCACCAAATGATGCCGACAATGAAGGAAAACAACCAGACAAACTGACACCTCTTATCCTGGATATGGCTGACAAGTATCAGCTAAAGGTAGGCGACTCATTTGGAGAACTAGTAAAAAAAAAAAAGTAAAAAATCCTTTTATGTAGGTATGGCTGATAAATATCAGGTAAACTATTTCCTAGTGTCTCACTTGTTATGGATAACAAGTACATGTAGTGTATCAGCTAAATTCAGATTACTTAATCCTGATGTATCTAACAAGTACGAAACAAACTCTCTTACCAGGGTTAGTTTAGTAAATAGTGAGTATTGTGGACTGTTCATGTTTCCTGTCAGTGTTTAGCCCAATTTTTAAAATTCTTTCTTTTTGATAGGTAGCATTCCATATTGAACCATTTAAAGGCAGAGACCACAAAACCCTGAAAAATAACATCAAATACATTGTTGACACTTATGGAAAACACCCAGCCTTTTACAGACACTATGACAGATTGAAAAAGAAGCTTTTACCTGTGTACTATATTTATGATTCTTACCTTGTCAAGTCCTCAGATTGGGCAGAACTCTTCAGTTCTAGCGGATCGATATCCATTAGAAATACAGAATATGATGGGATATTCCTGGGTCTCCTTGTGGAGAGGCAACACAAGGAGAGCATCGCTAGTGCCGGCTTTGATGGCTACTACACTTACTTTGCTACAGATGGATTTACTTATGGTAGTTCCTGGAAGCACTGGAGAGAGATCATGAAGTATGCAAGAGGGAGGAAAATGTTGTTTGTCCCCAGTGTAGGGCCAGGGTATGTAGACACCAGGGTACGTCCGTGGAATGGAAAGAATACTCGGTCTCGTCAGGACGGACAGTATTACCGACTTGCTCTGCAGAGTGCATTAGATGTTAACCCTTCCTTGGTATCCATTACGTCTTTCAATGAATGGCATGAGGGGACACAGATAGAAACTGCTGTCCCTAAAGTCACTAAAAACTTCACATACTCAGATTATGGATCTGGAGGACCTCAGTTTTATCTCAACCTTACCCGACAATGTTTGTCAAAATTTAAAACAGAAGATTTAACCTAAGTACTGTTATCATTCAATAGCATTTTGTACTTTAATATTTAGTAAATATGAAACTCTATTTTACACGTATATGTGGATGAACATATAATTTATTTTGTTGTTAGTATATATTTTTCATTAAATTCATATAGCTATATATTTTATAGCTATGATAAAGTGCCAAGTAATTTATTCTCTTTTATAAAATCTACAATTATCAGTTTTACTTTGTAATTGATATGGTTGTCTGCTTTATATGGTCAATAAGATCAGATATATGGTTTGTTAACTTAACAAGTGAGCACTGTCAGTTGACTATGTTTAGTACATAATGTTATAAAGTATGTTTTCATTTGAATATGCATTCCCCCCTTGAAAAGCGGGGGGTTCATAGTGATTCCTCCCTACTTAAAGGTCTTTGGCCCCTGAAGACACCAACCTAGGCTCTTCCCTAGCAGGTCTTTCACAAGTCATGCACTTCCTAAATCCTAGTCATGGCACCAAATATAACGGGAGAGGAGGAAAATGTTACGGACCAGACCAGGATTCAAACCCCAGCCCCCTGAGTCTCCAGTCAGGTGTTTTAGCTACCAACTAAGCTATCTGGCCACTGGTGATCAAACCCCTCTGACTGCCACATTACCTATGTTTAATTAATGAATTCTTTTTAAAATCCCCTTGTATATGAGAAGGGGCTGGGGAGGGTGATCAATCAAAATACATATTAAGCAGATTCAGAAGTTTATGAGAGGGAGGGGGTTGATGGGTCCAACCACTTGAAAAGGGGTCCACAACACATTTTGGTTTCCTAGTTTTCACTGGACCCCCATCCTACACCATGAATTACACCCATTTATTTATTTGTATTTTTATTATCTATCTTGTTGATCTCTCATAAATGTGTGTTTTTTTTTCTGATTAAAAAAAGTCCAGTCTCAACCCCCCCCCCCCTTTTCTGAATCTTATCGGTCTCTCGTTATTTCCCAATCATGACAAAGAGCACACGTTGGGTGTGACCGGTTGGCAGGGAATGCTCACTCCTCCATGGCACCTGATCCCACCTCTTCTGTTTTAGAGGTCCATGTTTGCTCTGCTCCAAAATTTGTATTCGTTGCTTAATGATCGACTTTTGAGCTTCAGATACTGTTCGTTATCTCCATATAATTCATTCTCAACAACAGGCAAAAAAATCTGACAAGCAAAAAAGAAAAAAAAAAGGGGGGGAGGGCAACTTCCCAAATTTATCTGACAAGCAAAAAAAAAAAGCTTATTTACTGTCCAAATCCTGGAATTTGCATGCTTGAGATCTTACAACATCCAACAGTGGGGGGAGGGAGGCAATCAGCATCTAAAGAAAAATTTACTTTTAGCAAAATACTATACTCTTCTACGGGCCAGTAGCTAGAACTAAAATTGTCACTGAATGTAAAATGTGTGGAAAGTAAGGGAACGAAAAAATCATGTACAACTTACCCAAAAATCGATTAGAATTCTTTTAAGTACAAGTTAATATGGTTACCAAGTTTTGGTCATTAGAGAGTTTGTCATAAAGATTCTAATAAAGTAGATCTTACGGAGTGTATTGACATTGATGATATTATTTTACCAAACAATGAATGCAAGGGAGACAGAATTAATTAATAGACTTGAACATGTCAAAGACATTAGGTGAGGATGGCAGTAAACAGTTTAAGAAAAATATTCTAGCATGTGTGTGTACCATTTTTAAGCTACATGATTTAATCGTTGAAGCATAAATAAAACAGGTTTAGACATGGAGTGCTTTGCTTTGTGGATACAAATGACTACATTTTTTTGCAGCTATCTGTCGTTTAATTAATTGTTCCTTAAAAGATTGATTTGACTTTAAAGTTGAACTTAAGTTAAACCCACCACGCAAAGTCAATTGTAGAGGGGAAAAAATTATAATAAATGTTTAGCATGTAAATATGTACGACGGTGAAACCGTTAGGGCGAGCGCAGTTCATTATCTAAAACTCTACACATCTTTTCAAATGTCGTTTAACATTCTGCTTATACACTTTTAAAGGCACGTTTACTTTGTATCGTACATATATTTTTTTAACCAATATTGAAGTATATATTCTCTAACGTTGCAGACTCCTGATGCATCGGGATCTAAATTCCTAACTTCTCGGATATTTCCGACAAAATGGGGAAATACCCGAGTCGTTGAAGTGAAGAAAATATGACGTCACATACAAAGTCGTGTGTACCAAGGACACAAATGATAGTTTTGTGGGCAATTGTGGCATGTAAATTGAATTAAATCATTGTTTATTAGTGAGCACAGCGAGGCAGCGCAAAGCGCCGCTCGCGTAGCAAGCACCATAGACAACGTGTACAAATGGAGGAAATTCGGGTTGAAATCTGCACATTGTTCAACAGTGTTCAAAGAAATTTTTATTGTCCCACGTGAAAATATTCCATTCTCCTAATAATCCTCTGCAGTGCATAGCAACATGGTGGCTTAAGCATAACAACAACTTACTTGATAAAAATAATAAACAACGATTTAATTCAAGAATTTCCTCCGTTTGTACACGTTGTCTATGGAGCTTGCGCCGCCTCGCTGCGCTAGCTATTAAAGTTTGACATATCTAAAGTTAAGCTGCAATTAACATTTTTGGGGAAAATTGCATCAGCTGATTGTTCAAACACAGATTTGGCAGAAATCAAACCACCCAGCTGTAATTTGAATGGGTCAATCAGGTTATAGGAAGCAAATATTTTTTTGTAGAACTTACAGTGCGACAGTTGGGTGAGTGTAGCAAGTAGCTGTGTATAATGTTAGAGTTTTTTTCTTGTCAGATTTTTTTTGGGGGGAAGTCCCCCCCCCCCCCCCCCACACACTTTTGAAATTGTTGCTAGCTGTGTATAATAATGTCAGAGTTCGAGCAAGAGAGCAGGTGCCTGTTTTACAAAAGAACTTACGACTAAGACCAAAATTTGAGCAAATAAATAAATAAATGTTGCAAATAAACTGGATAGATACCTTTAATCAATGCATACTGGAGATTCCTTATTTTTTGCACGTACTTATTACATGTGTCACGAAATGGCTCTTTGACAGTTTTGCATGGATTTTGAAAATAAAAGCGATTGATTTTATTTTGCGAGTGGTGTTTCTCACAAAATTACATGATAATTAATTCCTTACATATATTGACGAATCTACTGTACAATATACTATGAACCAGAGAAACCTGGGACCTGTTTTACAAAAGAACTTACGACTAAGACCAAAAACTTAAGTTAATTGTAAACTTTTTTAGAATGAATGATTCTATTTAAAATTGTCAGAGTAAAACTATCTTTCTTCATTCCTTTCAAAAAGATTTAAACCATTTTCAACTTCATGTAAATCAGAAAGTTATCAGCAGAATTAAAATTTGGTCTTGGTCATAAGTTCTTTTGTAAAACGTGCCCCTGAATGTCATTATCATGATCAGGGAGGGGGGCTGATTTGAAGCTAGAAAAGGTTGTTTAAATGTTTTGAAATTTCTCTTTAGTTGGATTAATTCTTCATGGTAAAAAACATATACAATCTCAAAAAACATTTGTTATGTTGAATATGGGTGGTTATTTTCTATGAAACTTTGATATATTCTTTAAAATTGTATTGGAGTGGATTCACTATTGACTATTTTCCTACATTGCATCTACAATTTAACTTTGGTATCTCAAACAATAACACATGCATCACATATACTATGGATATCTTCAAGGGAATTGGAAATTCCAACAATTTTTCCTTTTGTATGTATTTCAACCAAGATATCTCAAAAATATTGTGGATCTCGAAAAGATTTTTTCTTCATTTGAAATAATGAAATTTGATTTCTAACTGATGCAAGGGTCTATCCAATTAGATATTTATAATTCTATTAGAACTAATTTTCAGGTATAAAGTAAAAGATAATTCAAGCTACATATGTAATCCAAGATATAAATCTTGCTACCTACCTATGATAAGAACAGTACTAAAGGTCACTAAGTGCAAAGTACTGCAAACCCTTCTAGCATGTTTAGATGAATTGTTGAGAATAAAAGAATAAGAATTATTGTTAAACCTTGTTCTAGCAGTTTAGAATATACAAGCTTTGTTGAGCATATTTGTTTTATAACATATATATGATAGATGCACATTTATGAATTTAGATCAAAGACATTGCACTTGGAAAAAGTTCGGGGCAAACTTCGCCAAGAATTTGAAAACACAGAGAATGAAGAAAAACGACTAGAAGAATACAAACAAGAAATGGAGTTACTTCTCCAAGAAAAAATGGCACATGTTGAAGAACTACGACTCATTCATGCCGATATTAATCTGGTAAGCATGCCTGATCTCACAACATCAAATTGAAAAATATACTAGTACACTATATACATGTATATATAATTACCAGGGATTCGTTTAAAAGTGAATTGTGAACTGTGTTTGATATGAAAATGAATAATTAATACAGGTCTTAATCTCAAATACACGTCTTAATCTCAAACCTAGAATATCTTAGATTTTTCTAATCCCTTTCAATTTACAACTCCAAATTTTCTGCTGAAATAAATTTATATCAATTATGAAAGCATACAAATATTATATTGCAATAATAAAAGCATACAAGTATTATCTCTGACAGTGTATTTTGTTGGTATTTTGTGTTTGTAATAGATGGAAACTACAATCAAACAAGCAGAGGAGGAGAGAAACCGATCCCTGGAGTCAGCAAAAAAGTTATACGAGGAGTTCCGTCCCTTGAAAGATGAGGTGGATCAGCTAAGAGGGGTCATTGGATTAGAGAAACTCCCTGACCTTCAGGAGGAGGAGGAAAAACTCACCCCTGAGTAAGACATAGACACAGGCAGTGCAACAATCAGTCATTAAAAAAGTCTTAACACAGTACAGAATTAGATTGAAATATGTATCCTTCAAGTTCTAGAAGATTACAATATTTGTGATGTCATAATCCTTTTTTATTAACATTGATAATACATGGAAATTATTTTTAGTTCAAAGAAGAATATGTTAGGAAACTAAGAGTATGATAATCCATTTTTAGCTCACTTGAGCTGAAAGCTCAAGTGAGCTTTTCTGATCACCCATTGTCCGTCGTCCGTCCGTCTGTCCGTCCGTCCGTCTGTAAACTTTTCACATTTTCAACTTCTTCTCAAGAACCACTGGGCCAATTTTAACCAAACTTGGTACAAAGTATCCTTAGGTAAAGGGGAGTGTAAATTGTTAAAATAAAGGGCCAAGTCCCCTTACAAGGGGAGATAATCAAGAAAAGACAAAAATAGGGTGGGGTCATTAAAAAATCTTCTTCTCAAGAACCACTGGGCCAGAAAAGCTGAAACTTATGTGGAAGCATCCTGGGATAATGTAGATTTTAAATTGTTAAAATCATGACCCCCGGGGGTAGGGTGGGGCCACAATAGGGAATCCAAATTTTTCATTGATATATATATAGGAAAAATCTTTAAAAAACTTCTTCTCAAGAACCACCAGGCCAGAAAAGCTGAAACTTATGTGGAAGCATCCTGGGGTAGTGGAGATTCTAAATTGTAAAAATCATGACCCCCGGGAGTAGGGCGGGGCCACAATAGGGAATCCAAGTTTTACATTGAAATATAAAGGAAAAATCTTTTAAAATCTTCTTCTCAAGAACCACTAGGCCAGAAAAGCTGAAACTTATGTGGAAGCATCCTGGGGTAGTGGAGATTCTAAATTAGTAAAATCATGACCCCCAGGGATAGGGTGGGGCTACAATAGGGAATCCAAGTTTTACATTGAATAGAAAGGAAAATTTTTTAAAAAATCTTCTTCTCAAGAACCACTAGGCCAGAAAAGCTGAAACTTATGTGGAAGCATCCTGGGGAAGTGGAGATTCTAAATTGTTAAAATCATGACCCATGGGGGTAGGGCGGGGCCACAATAGGGAATCCAATTTTTACATTGAAATATAAAGGAAAAATCTTTTAAAATCTTCTTCTCAAGAACCACTAGGCCAGAAAAGCTGAAACTTATGTGGAAGCATCCTGGGGAAGTGGAGATTCTAAATTGTTAAAATCATGACCCCCAGGGATAGGGTGGGGCTACAATAGGGAATCCAAGTTTTACATTGAAATAGAAAGGAAATTTTTTTTTAAAATCTTCTTCTCAAGAACCACTAGGCCAGAAAAGCTGAAACTTATGTGGAAGCATCCTGGGGAAGTGGAGATTCTAAATTGTTAAAATCATGACCCATGGGGGTAGGGCGGGGCCACAATAGGGATTCCAAGTTTTACATTGAAATAAATAGGAAAAATCTTGAAAAATCTTCTTCTCAAGAACAACTGGTCCAGAAAAACTGAAACTTATGTGGAAGCGTCCTGGTGTAGTGGAGATGCTAAATTTTAAAAATCATGACCCCCAGTAGTAGGGCGGGGCCACAATAGGGATTCCAAGTTTTACATTAAAATATTTAAGAAAAATCTTGAAAAATCTTCTTCTCAAGAACAACTGGGCCAGAAAAATTGAAACTTATGTGGAAGCATCCTGGGGTAGTGTAGATGCTAAATTGTAAAAATCATGACCCCCGGGGGTAAGGTGGGGCCACAATAGGGAATCCAATTTTACATTGAAATATGTCAGAAAAATCTTGAAAAATCTTCTCAAGAACAACTTGGCCAGAAAATCTAAAACTTATGTGGAAGCATCCTGGGATAGTGTAGATTTTAAATTGTTAAAATCATGACCCCTGGGGGTAGGGCGGGGCCACAATAAGTATTACAAGGGGGGAAATTTGGTTAAGAACAGTATGGCCAAAGTTACTCAGGTGAGCGATGTGGCCCATGGGCCTCTTGTTCATAATGTATGTATTTTATTTTCAGTTTCTTTGAAAAGCAAAACACAGAGTGGACAAGTGAGCCCCCTCCAGAGCCACCAGTCCCCCAGACCATGTCTGTTCCAGCAGCCACGCCCACTCAGATTCAGGTCCCCAGGACCCAAAAACCTCCAGAACCTCGGCAGCAAACATTCCGACAACAGCCACCCCCAATGAAGGTAACTCATTCCTAAGTCAATAGAGGTAACTCATTCTTAAATCAATGAAGGTAACTCATTCTTATGTCAATAAAAGTAACTTATTCTTAAGTTAATAGAGGTAACTCATTCTTATAAAGTCAGTAAAGGTAACTCATTCTCTTGAAACGAAGGTAACTCATTCTTAAGTACAGATGGAATTAATATCTGTTTCACTGGGAAATAGAATGAGTTTTCATTGAAAGAAATGAAAACTTTTTTTTTTCAATGGATCAGTAGTGATTTTGTAAGAAATCATTTTATGATTATTTCCAAATCTAAATATCATGCACCTTAGTTTCTGGTAATGATACATGTATGTCAACCTGATTGAAATACACCTACTTTCATTTTTTCAAAAAAAAAAAAAGAAAATAGGATGGACTATTAAAACACTGTTTTTCTATTAATGTAAACCAATTTGTTTAATTCAAGTCTTGATTATTTTGTAGGCTTGCCTTTCATGTCACCAACAAATTCACAGAAACGCGCCAATATGTCCGCTGTGTAAGGCAAAGAGTCGCTCCAGAAACCCTAAGAAACCCAAAAGGAAATTGGATGAATAAGGAATAAAGAGATTGAAGCAATGCAATAAGTAGCAATATACATGAACATGACCAGAGTTCTGTGAAGGATTTATAGACATCACAAACTCTGCTGATCTCCATACCATTGAGGACTACCAGTAGTTTATGTCATAATGTGTGTAGCTGAAGCATTAGGCTTCACATAGAAAGCTGAAATAGTATATGTCTAATGGTCTATATATCCAACCTTTAAATAAACAGAATACAGATTTATCAAAGAAAGTCGAAGAAAGCAACTTTTAATGTGTTCAATTCTTATGAAGATGGACTCGTATTAAGTTTTAAATGTTAAAATTTGTTCCTTGCAAGCATTCACACTTTCGTAAGTACATATATACATTAATTCATTGTACATGTACATGTATGTAAGGTTGTGAATTATAAAACTGTCATCAAACAATTCAGCATTAACTATGATTTAGTCATTTCAAAAGCACTGTTCCATTTTTAGAGTGAGTTTGAAGAATACATTCTCAACTGCTGATGTAGGCATCATACATATATTTTGTTATAATTTTTTTGTTAGATATGCAGCATTTGTCTTGTAGATGTACTTTTTTTTTAAATAGATAAATCTTTTTTCTACAAACAAATGAGACTGTTCCTCATATTTGCCTTGACTGTAAATTCAAATCAATTGCACAAAATCTAATTTCATTTTTTTTTTTCAGCTTTTTATGCCTTCCCATTGCAGTTGACTAATTAATCCTGTTGCTGTTAAGATGGACACACAAATAGAATCATTTTCAAAAAATAACATTTTCAAGAACTCTACAATACTCTATGAAATTTATCCAGCCAGATCCTGTCCTCATAAAATTGGTTACAACTCTTCAAGATCTTGTGACCTTGTACAAATGACTGTCTTAAAGACATGTCATATACCAGTATTGCAATTCCTACATTGTATACAGGGCAATTTTTGCCCCTTTTGCCCTCATTGCAAAAAGGGCAAATTTAAAACAGGGCAAATTGAAAGAAGGCAGCATTATCTCTTTAACGCGACAGTGTCTGGGCGAATTTAAGACAGGGTAAGATTGTTTGCAGGTGTAAAAATGCAAAACTAACGTGGCAAAAATAATCATCTATACAGTATATCCCCAAAAAGAATATTACAAAACAATCAAATTTAGAAACATCACTAGAAAAATATTTCTAAATCCCTAATCAGATCTGATACAAAATTGCCAACTGAGCTCTTTGGCCACCAGCGATCAAACCTGCCTGACAACCACATTCCTCCCCATTGCCCCCAAAGACACCAACCCAGGCTCTTCCTGGCAGGTCTTTCACCTGTCACTTCCAGGGCATGGCATGGCACAGTAAAAGGTACATGTAATTGGAAAATGTATACTTGTTTGTATTGTTAATTTACCTGAGACAGTCCGATATTTTTACAAATGGCAAAAGTATTAATGACCATTGAAGCAAGTCTTTCAGGAATGCATGCCTAAATGAGAACTACACACTCGGTAATTTTTTTGGCCAGTAATTGTAATTGATTGTGTAACAGAGACATTTATGTGCCTCTGCTGGGGATTGAACCCGGGGCCTCTGGATTGCCAGTTCAGTGCTCTACCGATTGAGCTAAAGGGTTAACACACAGGCCCAAGCTAGTAGGATGCCTTACACTACACAAAAGTTTTGACACAATTCCAATAGGGCCAACATATCATGTGGGGCCATAATTAGCCAAACTGAATTGAATTGGGTTAATAACCCATGCTCCCTAAATCAGAGATTTTTTATCATATACAAGTTCACATGAAAATTCAATGTGTTATCAAAACAGAATTCTTGAAGCAGTTCTTGAAGGGAATGAACACAAAAACAAATGTATGCATCAGAAAAAGTTTTTATTCCATTTTAAAGAGTAATCTTATGAAGAATTGTAAGTATAGATGCATAAGGTTTCCAAACACAAAATATAATTATACATGTACCTGTAATTTCAATTACAACAAATTTAAATGCACTACATGTATAAAAGATAATTATCCTTTGATCTAAATACTGATTTGAAAATATAGAATTCATTAATTACATGTATAATTTAATGTAACAATCTGTTGCAGAAACTGCTGTTGGTAAGGATGCAATTTAGCTGTTAAGAATTAAATAGAGCAACTCTTAGATAAAACACTTTTTACTTAATTTTTACAAAGAAAATATTGTTAAATCTGACTCCCTGATCCCCTCCCAATGCCATTTTCAGCAAAGAAATTATACATGTATTTTAACATAACCATATATCCAGATATTTAATTACACCTATTGAAAAAAAAAATTTACATGAAAGAAAAGATAGCTCTTAATCTGAAACAAGCTCCATAATTTTTTTTAGTATTTAAATGCCAAAATTCATATAATGTATCAAAAGTTACTGAATTATTAAATAAAAATGATCTAAACAGTTCATTCATAGTTGAATAAGAGTGGAGAAAAAATATTAAACCCGAAATATTGTATATGGAGCCATAAAATTTCAACATACACATACAACACTATGTGACAATAGGCAAACATGTGAGGGTGAGAATGTTTCATAGATGAAGTAAAAATTTTCTTATACAAACATGTAAATGTTGGTATCCTATTATAATGGATGATTTTGTCCATTGTTCAACATTACAATTTAATAAACACTGACAAAGTATCATACATGTATGTACACGTTCAGCAAAACAACTGAGTGACAAAGAATACATACAGGCTCATACTTTTAACTGTTCACAGTATCTACAGGTAGTGTCATCTTCAAAACATCAAGTTTTGAGTACATTTAAGAACTTAATAATTTACATGCACTTCAATGTCCAAACATTTGAAAACAACAGACAGATTTTATGATGTATGAAACGGAACAGGTAGCCAAGCCAGGAGGTTCCCCTAACACAGCTCAAATGTCCCTCTGTTCTGTAGTCAACTAAAAGGCTTTGACAAAAATCTTCTTTATAACTGTAAAATATATTAAAAAAAATAAATAAATAAAGAGATCATGAATACACAAGATCGTGATTTTTTATAGTGTGTGAGCAGCTTACAAAGGAGAGAACAGGTCAAGATATTATAATTATTACAGAGTTTGTGAAAACCCCCACACATCTGCTTCTTTATTAAAAAAAAAATAACTGAGAGTAAAAAAAAAACCAATACAATACCACTGTGTTAAATTACACAATATACTTACATCATCAATCTCATCGTCATCGCCGTCAAAATCTCCAAACTCAATGTTGTCCTCGGCTTCCTCATCGTTAACATTCTCATTGATTCTGGCTGTAAAACACAAACAGAACGATGTAAACTATATCATTAACAAAGAATCAAATATTACTTATTTCTTCAAGACATTTCAAGGCAGGGGATCAGGGCTCGACATTAACTTTTTTCCCTACTTGTCCATTCGGACAAGTGAACAAGACATTTACTTGTCCGAACTTCAACTTCACTTGTCTGAAAAATTTTCAATAAATATCTAATACTGTCAACTGGAAAACTAAACTTAAGTCCATTACACATGACATGTGCTTGATTGACAGATCTGGGCGGCCTCCGTTTTTGGAGGATAGCTAAATTCAATATGGCTGCCAAAATTTTTACCATATATGGAAACCGCGTTGCATTGTGGGATAGTTTATCCTCCGATTTCAGAGGATAACAAAGGTAATTTTCAAACACCTCGTGCCTACCTTTAATCAAAAAGTGCAAGCACCTGAGTACATGCAAATAAAAGTTCAAACATTAAACTATCGATTGTATGTGGCGATTTGAGATTCTATGTCTAGATATTTTGCAATTTATTTTCAAAGTTAGCACTTTTTGCGCTCTATAAATACTGAATACTTATTGTTATTTTGTTTTATTTTTTATAATTTTTTCCTATTTAGACAAATAAAAAAGGACTTTAATATTTTTTTTATATTTTCTTTTAATTCAAAAAAAGGAAACACAAAAGGAAATGCATTTTAAGCGTATTTAAAATGCAAAATATACTCTGCCTTATAACTTAAGCAAATAAAAATATAAATGGATTGAATGAATAATTATGAAAATAAATAAATAATTTGAATAGCATAAGCAAATAAAATAAATAATTTAGCATGTTTACTAAGAAATTAACATATATTCATACAGCTATGTGTATACACACATAAACAAATAAAATATTACAAAGTGATTTGCTTAAGAATTATTAAATGAAAGAAATAAATGATTAAAATTAATTTTTCCAAAAAAATTGTTTATCAAAATTTCTAAACTGCTTATCACATAATTACGATACTGGAAAATCAGCGTGGTTATAATTAACCTCAGTCACAGGCAGGTAAGTGCATTATTTGTTTTCCAAGCTGTATACCAAATAACTGATTGACGGCAAATTACAAAAATATAGTTATATTGATTTAATATCTGGAATTATCCATCATCATATGAAATTGTACCTTTTATTTGTTTTGATTTCGAAGTCAGCGTACGGTTCATAAATGCAAGAGTTGTTGTTATTTGTTTGGTTAAGAGTTAACTGCCCTTAGTTTTGAAAATTCCGGCAGGTGGCAAGACCGCTATCCTCTGTTTTCAGTGGATAAAATCTATCGTCCAAAAACAGAGGCCGCCTAGACCTGATTGATTCGTGATGTTACTGATAAATACAACAAACACATAAAACGAAATTTTATCTAGTCTTTCTGGTCTGACAACAACATAAATGTCCACAAGTGAACCAAACTTTGTTAAGTTCGTAAGTTCCATGCCTTTTCAGTAGTATGCAATTAGTGAACTTTGATCACGATCGAATGTGAACTCAACTAATAGCAATCCCTATCGGGATCGAAGTCCAGTTTTTATGTACAGCTTCCGTCTTGAAACTACCGATTAACTTTCAACAGTCGTTTTTTTTAATTATTTAGAGACTCCTTTACATTAAAATGCACTTGTCCAATCGGACAAGTGCCCAGCAATATTCACTTGTCCCTAATTTTTTTTCACTGGTACCGGACAAGCGGACAAGCGTTAATGTCGAGCCCTGGGGATGCTCACTCCTCCATGGCACTTGATCCCATCTCTGATGATTTGGAGGTCTGTGTTTGCTCTGCTCCATCATTTGTATTGTTTAATGGACTTTTGAGCTTGAATACTGTTCGTTATCTCCATACATTTCATTATATCTAATTTAGAAAGCATCTCAGTTTTCCACTTCAGTACAATTTGATGATGTTATATGGCTAGTTTATATGTATGACCTTGAAAAAGAACTGAAAGAGGGTTTAAGAACAAGATGGTCTAAGACTAATTTTTTTCTATCAGACAAAAAGTAACTCCGGGGTGGAATAGGAATACCAGCTCAGACAAGAAAAAGGAGAAATTGAGGTATATAATTAGGGAAGAAAAAGGAGAAATTGAGGTATATAATTAGACAAACTTGATTCTGGCAGTTCTCCATACGCCTTCAGATTCCTGGCTTCATCTGCTGTATATTTCAGAATAACATCAGCCTTTGTGTCTTGAAATTCTCGGAGGCCCAATAGTATAATGTCACCACCATTTATCCAAACCTATGAAAAAATGTATTTTTTTCAACTCTGCTTTCGCTATTCATGTGAAAAATTGAGCACAGTTTATAGGAAAATGCTGACAAAATAACCCCATGTGTGCCCAGTATACATTCCTAGCATTAAGGCCATCAATTATTTCCTGACTATAAACATTTACTTGTTTTGAACATATTTTATTGACAATAGGTCAAAGGAATTGGACACAAGTTCTAGAAACTTCGATAGTCTTCTCCCATTTACTGGAGTGAAACCTTATGTTACAACTTGAAATCTGTCACTGCTTTTCACCTTTTGAGTATCTCGGTAGTTTAATTTTTCTGGAGTCTGACATTTTCATGATCACAAATTAAACTGTCATCAGATAAAGAATTTAAACTGATGCCTGTTGTGCAATTTTCATGGAAAATGTTCTCTAATCAAAGTTTATCAAATCATACTCTCAAAATCAACTGGAACTTACAAATTACATGCCATTATAGTTCTTGAAAACTACTAACCCCAATTGCACAATTCAAACAACAATATACCTTTTTTCGTAACTTTCCTCTTATGTGACACAACCTCTTTACTCCGTCAAAACACTGGGCTTCCAGTCGACCATTTCCCAACATTTTTGTCACTTGTGCATATTCTAAAAGAAATTAACAGATAATCAAAATAATCAAGGAAGAAAATAATAGCCACACTCTTCAATCCAGTATTGAATGCCTTTCAACTTTAAATTTCTATTGCATGTGTTCAAAATACATATTGGTAACAGGAAGCTAAGATGGAGTTGAACAGAAATTGTATAGTAAGATATAAATGGACAGCTAATTTCTTCTAGTTTACATCAAACACTTGACTTTACTCCTTATGTTTTTTCCAGATATGTAAAGAATTATGTCACCCTGTCCATTCTAATTTACTCCTAGGTTAGTCAGATATCTTAAGAATATCTCACCTTGTTTATTCTAATTTACTCCTAAGTTTGTCAGATATCTGATCCTGTCCTTTCTAATTTACTCCTTAGATTGTCAGATATTTTAAGCACTAACTCACCCTGTTCATTGTAATTTACTTGTAAGTTTGTCAGAAATCTTAAGCACTAACTCACCCTGTCCACTGTAATTTACTTATAAGTTTGTTAGATATCTTAAACATGAACTCAACCTGTCCATTGTAACTTGCTCCTAAGTTTACGACATCTTAAACAAGAACTCACCCTGTCCATTGTGACATGCTCCCAAGTTTATGATATCTTAAACACAAACTCACCCTGTCCATTGTAACTTGCTCCTAAGTTTATGATATCTTAAACACGAACTCACCCTGTCCATTGTAACTTGCTCCTAAGTTTATGATATCTTAAAAACTAACTCACCCTGTTCATTGTAATTTACTTGTAAGGTTTTTAGATATCTTAAACATGAACTCACCCTGTCCATTGTAACTTGCTCCTAAGTTTATGATATCTTAAACACGAACTCACCCTGTCCATTGTAACTTGCTCCTAAGTTTATGATATCTTAAACACTAACTCACCCTGTTCATTATAATTTATTTGTAAGTTTGTTAGATATCTCATGCAGTAACTCACCCTGTCCACTGTAATTTACTTGCAAGTTTGTTAGATATCTTAAACACAAACTCACCCTGTCCGTCTTCTTTGAAGACCAGTTCTCTCTTCTCATTTTCATTCTCATTCTTCCCCCTTCTCCTGTTTTTACCTCCCTTTCCTGTAATGTAATTGTTTTTATTATCATCAATTGCCACTTCTAAAATACTTTATGTTTACCGGTAATATAATACAGTGTTTGAAATTAGCTTGGGTTTGTCTGCTCTGTGCCGATGAAAGGACTCACAAATAGAATGACTAAACAGGGACCTATATACTAACGGGATAGGCAACTCCTTCAGCACCATGTTTATTTATCCAAAACGGCACACACAACACTGCAAGTTTTTCAAACTACGTTTTTTCCCAGTAAAGAGCTTGTTATCTGATTAATGTAATATGTTCTTTTTGTGTATCGGAATGGGTACTGTGGCCTTGCTCTCTTTGTAATTGAAGTTCAAGACTATGATTTTGCTTAAAATTTTGACTTTATTAAACATTTACTGATAAGGCGCTTTGCCCTCCTCATAGCTCAAGGGTAGGATTTTGCTAATTTTAACCTTCCTATACACGTCGGCTTCTATAAACATGATAAAGACTCAGCTCTTGAAAACAGTGGGTCTGATTCAACTGAAATAAATGCTCTAGCTAATAGAAAATAACAGTATATTCGATTCCTGCAATGACAAAATTTTAAAGTCATACATTTAATAACAGAATATCATCTAAAATATCTACCACTGACAATGATTGTTGGTACGCAATATAACCATATGCCGTACATGTTAACATTAATCCGCCATTTCCTACTTAGGGATATTGTGTTTTCAAACGATTTTTTACCTTTATTCTTCGGCATATTTGTTGTTTTCAAAAGATCCGAAAGTTTTGACTAAATCAATCTGCTTTGGAAATGTCTTTTCAGAGATAAAGCTGCTTCTCAACCACGAGAGGAACAAGTGCAATAAAACCGGAAGTCAATGAGTGGAACCGAGTCATCGAAACGCTTATATTTTGTACATTTGTAAAGCGTTTTCATGATCTCTTTCTCCCCCCCCCCCCCCTCGCCTTTGGTAGTATAAAGAGGATATTTTAATGTTTAGTGGTTGGATATGAAATTTTATTTCAAGAGTGTGTGATAGGATTTCTTTTTATAATTTCATAAGTGCGAAGCGCAAGTGTGAAACCCGTCTAACTTTAGTAGTGAAATAAATACCATATCAAACTACAATTTTCAAATTTTGAGGTTTCTGTTATCATTTTATGCTCCCGTATCGGAGATTCGGGTGTATATAGTTTTTGCCCTGTCCGTCCGTCTGTCTGTTTGTCCGCAAAAACTTTAACATTGCTTATAACTTTTGATTGTTTGGAGCTATGGCTTTCATATTTCACATGTGTAATCCTTGTGACAAGACCTTTCTTTGGGTACCATCATATTTGACCTTTTGACCTTGACTTTGGAGTTTCACCCAGTTTTACAAAATTTTACCCAACTTTAAACTTTAATATTGGCTATAACTTTTGAACGGTTAATGCTAGGGCTTTCATACTTCATGCATGTGTAATCCTTGTGACAAGACCTTTCTTTGGATACCAACAACTTTGACCTTGACCTTGGAGTTTGACCTACTTTTGGAAAACTTTAACCTTGGTCATAACTTTTGAACAGTTGGTGCTTTGGCTTTCATTCTTCACATGTGTAATCCTTGCCACGGTGACAAGCCCTTCCTTTAGATACCACCAATTATAGGCCATTGACCTTGGAGTTTGACCTGCTTTTGAAAAACTTTAACCTTAATTGGCCATATCTTTTAAACGGTTAATGCTAGGGCTTTCATATTTCACATGTGTATTTTTTGTGAGAAGGCCTTTCCTTGGGCACCATTAATTTTGACCATTTGACTTTGACTTGATGTTTGACTTACATTTGAAAAACTTTAACTTTTCCATATCTTTTCAATGGTTGCTGCTAGGGCTTTCGCATTTCACAGGTATTTTCCTCGGTACAAGACCTTACTTTGGGTACCAGCATATTCGAATTTGCATTTGAGAAAGTTTAACCATCGCTATAAGTTACCATACGGGGGCATCAGTGTTTCACAAACACATCCTTGTTCTTTAATTTTCATTTAATCTGCCCATTTAAAATTTCAGTTTATGTGGTTAATGTCGGTATATCACACAGTTTCTAACTTTCTAAGTACAGTTTCCTGGGCTCATCAAAATATGTTAATGATAATTATCAAAACTCCACCTACCAAAATTCAAAAGACATATATAAGTTATAAATTAAACCGTCCAAAGTATTTTTTGCAAAGTAGGACTAAAATCAAGGTCAATTGGACCATAACGCTGGTACTATTCACGTTTTATGACAAACATAGCACAGACTTACCTCTTAAATGTCAAAAATATGTTGTATATCGGAACTATGAATTTTTTTTTCAAGTAGGCATAGGCGTCGGAAGCAAATTGAAAGTGGGGGGGGGGGGGGCTAGTTGAAAGAGAAAAAAAATTCAAACCTGAAAAAACTTGACATCCAAAAAAAAAAAAAAAAGGAAAGGAAAGGAAAGGAAAATTGTCCAAATCCGAAAATTCTATTTCGATCGTTGGGGGGAAGGGGGGGGGGGATCGAAATTCTTTCAGTGTCAATTCTTTGTATAAAAAGGGGGAATAAGCCCCCCCCCCGGTTCCGACACCTATGGTAGGTCTTAGGTTAAGTCCAAAGGTCACGAGGTCGGTAATTATGGTATTTTACAAAATTTCCGATGATATTATGAACGTATGATTTAAATGCAGGAAAAGTTTTATGATACGTTAAATAGTATGAAGAAGACATGAGACACTGGTTGCACCGAAACACATACATGTTGAAGAGTTGAAATACGCCAAACAATAAAAGCTATTCAAAAGACCTTTATTTATTTTTTAAATTATAGTACTGCAATTGCCAAATATAAAAATATTAATTAATAATTTATTCAGGAGGCGGTGGGCCTCTAAAATGATGCCAAGGTGGAGGGTGATGCCGGGGGTGTCCATGATGATGCCTAGGTGGGCGATGACGACCATGTGGTCCACCGGGATGTCGTGGGTGTGGCCCATGTGGAGGGGGAGGAGGATGTGGACCTCGTCCATGACAACCAGGTGGAGGTGGGGGATGATGTCGCCAAGGAGGGCCGTGAGGGTGTTTAAATCTCGGAGGATAATGCGGCACAAAATCATATGAAGACGGATGTTCGCTTGATTCTGTTAAAATACGTTTACAACAATTAGTAAAATAAAACTAAAGGTATTAACTGCAATTTTATCAAATAAAACAGTTTTAAATTGGTTATACATGTATTAAAATGCAAATATGCACCTTGAGTTTGCTCCCTCATATCAGAGTGGTCATTTTGGGCATCTTTATTTTTCATTTCTGACGATTCTTTCTGCTCGTTGTGCTGTTTAACTTTCTGTACAATATTTGCCAGATGGAAATTCTTAGGGAATTTCTTTACACCCCCAGCGGGAACCTGGGCGTCGATCCGACACTGGGGGCACGTCACTGTGGTACCACCGCTGCTGTGTGTAAGATTTTGTAGGCATTCTGTACAGAAGCTGTGAAGACAGGGTAACGAGACGGGGCAGTCATACAATTCCAGGCATATTGGACAGGTCAACTCGTCAACAAGATTAACGGAGCTCATCTTATACCTGAAAACAGTTTATGTATGTCATGACACATTCACATATACTAAAACACAGATCGAGAGAGAGAGAGAATCCCGTTAATTCCAAGGCCATCGGAAATACATGTACATGTATAGGTGGGGTAGAAGTGCACCCCCTTTTGAAATAAACATCTCGAAGGTTTCGATCATTTTGAAACAGATCAAATATATATTCATTATCCGTCAGTTGAAAGAAATACCGCTACGATATTTGTTTATTTTTTTTTTTTTCAAATTGTCTTCAAGTCTCTGCTTATGAGGAGGTATCCCTACCAGGCCCTCCCCAAACCCCCTTTCCAGAAATCTGACAACCATGCGGTGCCATACATATGTACTTGTATTTTTCACCACAGGGTCGTCAATTTTCTGAAAAAGGGTTGTGAGGAGGGCCTTTGAGATATTATGTATACCAAGGAGGTGGGGGAGCTTAACCCCACCCCACCCACTTATCGCCGGGAAAAATAAGTTTAAAAACTTTCCGGCAACAATGAAACATAAAAATGCTAACGATGGAATAGCACTTTATTATAACTTAGGTCGGTAGGGCGAATTCTGGAAATCCAAAAATTGCACCCGAATAATCCGAAGCCTAGGACTTAACTCACTAATAATGTTGTATGTAACATATAAATCATAAAATAAAACAATGACAATTAGCACAGTTCTGAGCATGAGTGACAGATGGCTTAGATAGAATAACTAGAATTGTTTTTATCAAAAATAACACCGTGATACACCCTTACTAGATTCGCGCATGTATATGTACTGTAATGTATTAAAAGTGAACAAACAGTAAGATTTTATATTATAATACAAGTATTATATAATACAATATAAATTTTAAGTGTTTTTACCGGCCTTGAATTAACGAAAAATCATATACAAATCATATATTACAGTATATATATATATATATATATATATATATATATATATATAAATATATATATATATATATATATATATATATATATATATATATATATATATATATATATATATATATATATATATACAGTGTATATATATATAGGATATTAAATGTTTTGTAGTTGGATATGAAATGTATTTCACGAGTGGGACAGGATTTTTTAATATAGTTTCACGAGTGCGAAGCACGAGTGAAATATAAAAAAAATCCTGTCTCACGAGTTAGATAAATTCCATATCAAACTACAAAATATTGAATTTTCTGTTTATTACATTTTCTTTGATTTCCTCTATGCCGGCCCCTGTCTTTTCTTAACCAGCTCCATAGGTTGTGACGTCATAGTTGAGCGGTTAAGACATCATAGCAAATGTGAGATTAAAAACATTGTGACATGGATTTTAGCAACATATTTGGGAAGAAATTGGTAGTTTTAGTCTCTATCAAGACGGTTTAGCTACTATCTCTATCTTATGACAGGCCAGAAATTATTTTTTTACTTACTTTGATATCCTTATATCCTTTCACACTGTGAGAGAGTATCACTTTGGTATCCTTTCATACTGTGAGATAATATCATTTTTATTCAATAAATAAATCACAGTATTTTACTGTTGAAAATGTAATATATATATATATATATATATATATATATATATATATATATATATATATATATATATATATATATATATATATATATATATATATAATTATATATATATATCTCAGGTATGAATTACTAAAATTAATAATGCCTTGCAACAGAATCGTTTGTTATACATGTATATTACAAGAAAAAAATGCATGTATGATTGTACTAATCAGTCTTGATTGCATGCAATCACTTAATCACTGTGTTGGAATTTACTCTTCTCCGAATTAAAGAGCCTACATCTACAGAGATCAAATAATTTTGAACACTTACCTTCACTTTATCACAAAACAACAAAACGAAAGTACGTACAGTATAGAGGTAAATAAACATGCGCAGGCTTGTATACATGTGTGAATTGTGTACTGTAAAATAACTGGCCCCCAGCCCCTCCCCTTCTCCAATTTATTATGACAAACTTCAAAATGAACTAGATGCTGTCATGAGACAGTAATACCCGCACTAAGGTGTTTGCCTCTAAATGCACACTCCTTCATATTGGGCTTACCAAGGAAAAAGTCCAAATAATTCTATAATTTACACAGTACATGTATTCGTCAAATCGAGCATAAAATGCTCAGGTGACCATGTGACCCATGAACCTCTTATACGCATTTCATATACTTAATTCATTACCAGTCTGAAATAACAGAATTTAATTAATGATGAAAATTAGTTTTTGATAAAAGGGGGGGGATATAAATTTTTGGCCCATAATTGGAACTTTTTAAATTTATTTTCTCAACAACAAATAATATTATTTTAGTACAAAGTGTTTTTGATGAATTTATCAAAATGTGCAAACTTTTAGTATTTGATTAGGCAAAAACCTCCTTGAAAAGCCATACCCAATCAATTTTGTCACACACACCCCAACACACACACACAATTTGCCTGTTTTTTGGAAATAGGCCTAGATGGCAAAGTTATGTTAAAACATCGTTTGTTATGATAATTTAAAATTTGTTCTTGTACTGTACATGTATGTGAACACCTTTTTGAAAATTTTTACATCACATTGGGCTTGCAAGCGTCACCCTACCAGTACTAGTTTTACCATTATCATTTTTAGATTGCACATGGTGCAGTGTTACATGCATATCAGTGGAAATTAATTCATTTTGTGTTTTAATTGGATTATATTTCATGAAGTTTCGATGGTAGAGAGTGGATCATCGGATGCCACACTAGACGAATTTCACATTCTGAAGAGTTATCTCCCGTTGTCGACATTACATTCAGTTACAGGCACAGATCCAGGAATTTTTCCAGGGGGGGGGGGGGGGGGTCCACACCTCAGTCAAAAAAAATTCCAGCCCAGAATTTCCTGAAGAGCAAAAACAAAACAAAACAAACAAACAAACAAAATAAAAACAATGATGGTGGGGTCCATGTTTTTAAAGGGGGAGGGCATCCAAAGTCATTTTTATTTGCTTAGAACTGTAAATCAGTATACAGTCCTATTTAAATAACTCTGCAAATCCAGGGAGGGGGGGGGTCCAATCTCCCTAGCCGCTCCCTGTCCCTGAAATGACAAATGATCATGTGATTCCAAAATTATTGCAAAATAGTAGAAAACTTTTCCATTTGACTATACATAATTTTGTTTCTTGTGTTATTATGTTATGTACATCTAATGGTTTAAGGTTATGAACCCCTGGAGGTCATCCCCACTCTCTTAATGAACTGGAAATGTGCATAATATGACTACATCAAATTAAATAAAAGTGCATCAGTGATAAGATTACTTGACATTTCATTCATAAATTTGGGTCAACCCATGTACCCTCCTAGAATTAGGAATGAAAATTATTCAAAGAGATGGACCATTAAACTATTTGTATATATTCACATTTTTTTATGTCAAACCAAAGTATTAGACTAGTTTGCATACATGAACAATCAGGGGTCTGGGAAGGGGAAGGGGCAAGGGGAAGGAGTTATCTCTTTACGTCTTAATTGTTGAAAACTCCTAAAATGAATGTTAACCTATAGCCGATAGCGGCCGCCACTTTCCGATTAAGGATATTGTCATTTTGTACAGCATTTTGTCAATTTTCGTTGACAAATTACAACTAAACCGCTAATGCTATATGTACATGTACAATTTTTACACTGACAATTTCCACCGGAGAAAATCATTAAAATTCTTTCATGTGATATGAAATGTAGATACATAAAACGGGTTACTCGAAAGTGGTAAGCTTAAGGTTGCAAAATCGAGATAATTCTAGATTAGCATTGTCTTCCAGATGTGCTTTCTTGACAGATTGTTTTAATTAATTTTGGTGTACGTGCTGGTCACATCATAGGTTAGATCCAGGATGAAATTTTTTGGGTGTATTAGAAATTCGATTTTTGTATATAATCAGACGTGTCTTTGATGTATGAAGTTTGATTTTTAACAATGCGCACAAGATAATTCATCATAGTAGTAACCTATATTTTCCTTTGTCGTGCCACATTGAAAAATAATTGGCCGACCAGGTGGAAAGTGTTTCAGGCACTTGATTATTAATTTTATATACATTGTATTTAGGGAGCAAATATAGTCCCCATTAAGGCTGTCATTTTATTCTTGCTTAAAAAGTGTATATTTCCGTGTCTTGAGTTCTGTTTTTTTAATACATTCCAAAAACTTTAGAAAGGATGCTCTAATGTCGAGCTACATAGAATTCTGTTTATCTACCTCTCGAGCAGTCTCAAGCACTCTTAGATAGTATATTGATGTTTATCCATTACAACAAACATGTACTTTTATCCGCCTTTTTAATCACAATCCCAAGAATATTTTTAATGATACAACAAGAAAGAAAGTTTCAAAATGACTATTTTAGTCTAGCATCTAGGGTTAACAGGGTTACGATATCTCATACAGGCAAATTAAGAGTGAAAATCATCAAAATGCTCCTTATCTCTTTCAAGTCACCTGTTTTATGTATCTTAATTTCATATCACACGAAAGAATTTTAATGTTTTTCGCTGGTGGAAATTGTCAGTGTAAAAATTGTACATGTACATATAGCATTAGCGGTTTAGTTGTAATTTGGCAACGAAAATTGACAAAGCGCTGTACAAAATGACAATATCCTTAATCGGAAAGTGGCGGCCGCTGTCGGCCATCGTAAATCCGACTTGTACGTCTTCATTATTTTTAACGTAGGTCGCGGGTTTGCAGGCCTTTTAAAAGTGTCCGAAAACATACCATGAAAATTAGTTATATAATTCCTCTACCTTTGTTTTACATTCTCTGAAAATTTTATAAAATTCGTCTGCATCGTTTTTATGTAATTAAATCCCAAAGATGCCATTGTTGTAGTAACGTTATTGTATTGAATTATATAGGAAAAACGTGGATTTCGGCTCGTTTTCAGGCAAGATTTTTTTTCAAAAAATACCAT